CGAGAAGTACAGGATAGTCCAGGACCTCCGCACTGTTAACGAAGCCACCATTCTGGAAACTCCCATCGTGCCTAACCCACACACACTCCTGTCAGGGATCCCACCTACCTCCAGGTTTTTCACCATGGTGGATCTGGCTAACGCATCCTTTAGTGTACCCCTGGATCCTTCATGTCAATATCTCTTTGCTTTCACCCATGAACATCAGCAATACACCTGGACTGTCATGCCTCAGGGTGCACAAAATTTACCCAGCCAGTTTGCAAGGGCAATGGCTTCAATTCTGGACTCATGGCAAAAAGCTCACACTGATGTGGTCCTGCTTCAATATGTGGACGACCTCCTCCTCCGTGCTGATGAACTCCCTACTGCTGAGCGTACTTCTGAAGATCTTCTATGCTATCTCGCAGAGCAAGGATGCAAGGCCTCTAAACAGAAACTACAGTGGTGCCTACCCTCTGTGGTTTTCCTGCGTCACTGCCTCTCATATGGTACCCGCCAACTCACCCGGGACCGGGTGAGAGCTATCAGTGCTATTGATCCTCCTACAGCGCATAAACCCCTCCATACTTTCCTGGTTCTCCTACTGCATCCCAGAGGCCTCCTTCCTCATGCAACCCCTTTATGACGCCCTCAAGTCTGAACCATTTTCCCTATCCCCAGAGGCACTCTCCAGTTTTTTTGCCCTGAGAAGTGCCATCTCCACTGCCCCGGCCCTGGGCCTCCCCGACTACCAGAAACCCTTTAAGTTGTTCATGTCAGAGAGACAGGGTCATGCCTCTGGGGTCCTCACACAGTCCCACGGCTCACGCCAGCGCCCCATTCTTGCCAACTAGACCCTGTGGCAAGGGGAGGCCCCTCCTGCCTTAGAGCAGTTTTGCAGCACATGCCCTCATTGACAAGACCAATGATTTGGTACTTGGCCATCAGCTTGTCATCCTTGTCCCTCATAACATTGCTGCCATCCTTAACCAAGTCCAGCCCAAACATCTCTCCGCTGCCTGCCACCTCCGCTTACAATGCTCTTTACTGCTCCCAGACAACATGTCCCTGCAGAGATGTTATTCCCTTAACCACTCTTCTGCTGCTTTCCAAGGGGGGATCTCCCCACTACTGGTACAGCCTAGACATAGACCCAGGCTACATGTTTTTTCTTCTGACCAAAATCATGCCCCCCGTCCCACATGATACTCAGACTTTCCCTGCACCTTGTGGTACAAAAACACCCCAGGACTCGACCCCCACTATGAGGAAGACCTGCTTCAGTTTGTGGAGGTGAAACTTACCATAACGGACCTGTTCTGCGATTCTAAGGGCAACAGCATGGCCTTAGTCCTCCTGTCCTTGGAAGCTACTCACCTATATAATCACTGGGACTTATATGTTTCACACATCTCCCTAACCAGGTCCCCTCAGACCTCATGGAAAGAACTTGGCCCCATGGCCAAATCATGGAGCACTGAGGATCAGACCCAGCTCTCTGAAAAGAGTGTCACCAAACAAACCCTGAATTGGAGTGTAATCGGCTTTCCTCAATTCCACACAGAATATGCATGTGCCGAAGTTCCCCCTACAAACCAAGACCCGGACGCACCTCATGATTGCTTTGAACAGATGAAGATGGAGACGACACACCTCCCAACTGTACATAATGCTGCCTTACAAAGCCTGACATCACTCTGTTTGTAGATGGCTTCAGATATGGTGATGAACAAGGCAGATACCATACTGGATTGCAGTGGATGCAGTACTCCAAGCATCCTCACTCCCTTCAACCATGTCTGCACAAGAAGCTGAGCTACAGGCCCTCACCACAGCATGCTAGATCTCTGAAGGAAAACATGCCAATATCTACACTGACTCAAGATATGCACTAGGCGTGGCCCATGACTTCGGAGTAATCTGGAAGACAAGAGGATTTCTCACAGCAACTGGCACACCGGTCAAACACAGCACGGCTATCAAGGAGCTGATGGATGCCCTACACCTCCCTGAAGAAGTGGCCATATTGAAGGTAAAGGCTGACAGGAAACTGAACTCGGATAAGGCACGAGGCAACCATCTAGCTGACCAAGCCGCCAAGCAAGCCGCGTGTACATCCCCTGCATTAAAGACCCATACATATGTGTTACAGACAATTATTGGGACAACAACTGTGGTTACTGGAGGGTGGTGGGTTGGAACACAGGACCAGATTGGGGCTACAAGCCGCAGAGTGCCTTAAATAAAAAAGACAAGAATGGGGAGTCCTTATTAAACAGAATGACTTTCCGGAAGCCAGGAGGGGGAAACCCAATGAAACTTACCCTAAGCATAGAAAATCCTAGTCCCGGGGACGCTTGCATGTATATACTAGGGATGTATTGGAAAGGGGGGGTTCCCAAAATAAACGGGGAAGATTCTACCTCTAAGATATGTACCAATCACTCGAGTGGGTAGCCTCCCGACATGTGATCACCAATCCACTTAAACCTCACATCCAGACCTTCAAGGATATGGTCACCATAGCAGACCCCACATTTGAAGACACTACGGCTGCAGAGACAGGGTTCTCTGATACTAACCTATGGCTAGAATGGATGAGATATAACTCAAACATAATCAAACTAACTGCTATGTATGTGGAGGAGCCAGACCCCACCTAGGTACTGTCCCCCTGAACCTACCCCTTAACGTAGAAGTATGTTTCCTGAGACTCTTCACTAAAACCGGGAACTAACCAGTCAGCGTGTGAATCATGGAAAAGGGAATATCCAATTCTAACCAAGACCCCCAAACCAGATGAGGGTATCACCATATATCCAGGGAACTATACCTGCTATGGTATATATGGAAGGAAAGGCAGGTTTCTGGGAAATTTCACCAGTCGGTTTTGTGCCACTTATAGTGAACTCCCAGCCACCTTGCTACTAAATCAGATTTGGTCCCTGGGAGATATATACTGGGTATGTGGGGATATGAAGATTAGGACGAGGTTGGAGGGCCTATGGTGGGGGGAATGCGCCTTAGCCAAGGTTATTATGCCTCTACACATTATATCCGATGGTCCCCAGGACACTCATGGTAAATCACCCCCACTCACTAGGACAAGGAAGAATGCCCCCTTACAAGGCAGTTTCGACCCCCATGTATATATAGATGCCATTGGGGTGCCAAAGCGGGTGCCAGATGAATTCAAAGCTAGGGATGAAGTTGCAGCAGGTTTTGAATCCATTTTTCCAATCATCACTGCTAATAAGAACGTGAATTGGATTAATTACATATATTATAACCAACAACGGTTTGTAAACTATACAAGAGATGCCATCCAAGGGATAGCTGAACAACTACAGGCCACATCCCAGATGACCTTCCAGAATAGGATGGCCTTAGACATGATTCTAGCAGAAAAAGGAGGAGTGTGTAAATTGCTTCCGGACACTATGACATGTTGTACCTTCATCCCAGATAACACAGGCCCAAATGGTAAGGTGACCCTGGCAATAGAGAAATTAGTGAGTCTCTCGGAAGAGTTGAAAAAGAACTCTGGGGTCACTGACCCGTGGGATAAATGGTTCGGTGGATGAGTGGCTGGCAGAAAGTTCTGGCCCAGATAGGTATAGCTGTCCTGGTAATTTTGGTTATCCTTTACAGTCCCCCCTGCCAGTTACAAGGCTACAGTATTTTAGGGATAGCAGGGACAGCATCTGACTTCCCTCTTTGCACAGTCTGTGGGGGTGATGGACAAGCCATCACTCGCCTTATGCGCAGCAAGAAAAGAGTTCCGAGGCAATTGGTGGTGGGCATACCCTCTCATGGCCATTGGAGGTAACTAAAAACCTTCATTTGTTTAAAAATACATAAGGATGTGGAAAGAGCGCAGGCAACTTTTTTTCTTTGGTTTTTACTATATGTATTTTGGCTGATGTGTACTATGGTCATTGCTGCCGCCCAGGAGTAATGGGAGTTTGAGTGCAGGACTTGTTTCTTTGTACTTGTATTCACTTTTGTATCACACAGCTAGGTTACAATGCTGCTGCCCATCCCATTTGTTCCCTATTAAGGGTTAATAAGCATGTAGGGATATATATAAAAAAATACCCCTTTCTGTCTCATTAGAGATATCTTTGCCAAACGCTCAAGGAAACAAGGTGAGTGGTTAGAGTTAGGACACCTAAGAGGTCTGCCTTGACGTGGCAGGTGGGCACATCCTCTCATGGCCATTGGAGGCAACTAAAAACCTCCAATTGTTTTAAAATACATAGGGATGTGGAAAGAGCGCAGGTAACTTTTTTTTTCTTTGGTTTTTATTCATTTTTGAACTGTTCTAAAAACACTTGGTTCTAGGCACCATAACCACGTAGATTAAGTGGTTATGGTGCCCAGTGTTCCTTTAAAGTAAATACATGCATACAGATATAGTTTACATGCACTGCTTTTCACAGATCGAAAGGTATCAAATGCAACGCTTCACATAGCTACTGATCACCTAAAATACTCTGTGAATACAAATTATGATAATTATTAGATGATCTGACAAGCATTACAATAGAGTGAATTATAGGGTATCGAAGGTGAATTTTACATTTCAGACCAAAATAGCCGATATAGAAAAAATCTCTATCTATAGCTTTCAGTTTTGCTATTTTAGCCTGACATTGTACATATTCTTCAAATTACCAACAATTCGCACCTTAGATCCTCGTATGAATATGATCATATACAATGTGTAATTGTGAAGATTGGTTACAGAAAATGTTATTTGCTGTGCATGTAGAGACTGGACACAAATGCTCCGTGTCCCTCAATGCTAAATAGGGCAAACCTGCCCACATTCAATTAAAAAAGATCTATGTTGTCTTTAACATATTCTATGTCCATATTAACCTAGATTATTTAACTGCATGTACAGACAGTAGTAGAATTCTTAAAAGATTGTTCGGGTTTGCAGAGAATTCGATCTTTACAATGTATAAATATTAGCTAGGAACCAAGGTTTACATTCCGTGTTTCCGGGGGGACAGAGATTTTGGTTGGCATGATCACAAATGTCAAAGGAAAATGAGGTTATTGCAAACCCTGAGTGTGGATCTAAGGCGGGTGAGTGTATATTAGATATAATATCGCTTCATTGTATGTATTGTAACTTGGTGATTTTATGTCCTGGGTTGTCAGGTCCACCTTGTTTCTCTGCACATGCATCATGTCTATGATTTCTTCTTACTGATGGGTGCTACAGGAAAGGTGCTACTGTGCAGGGTAGTAAAACTTTTTTTTTATACTGAGCAAAAAAAAAATTAGTTCATGAATAAGGAAATTAATTATGTCCCAATCGCAGCATATTAATTTTACAAGGGCAGAACTATTTATGTACTGCCCATCATCCTAAAGAAGGTATTGGAGTCCTGGTAGATTTGGCAACTATATAAACCCCTTCAGGACAGAGTCAATAGTGCACGTTCTTATCAAAACAAAATGTAACTGGAATTTGCACTACATGTCTGTTCAACCGTAATTCACCTCTTTCATATTAAGTGCACTCGCACTTATTATATATCATTTTGTTCCGGAGAAACTGTGAGAAATGAAGATTTAAAAAAAAAATAAAAAAAAAATTGTAGTTCCGCCTGACATTTTAGCTGTAAATGTCATAATACTTTTAGCTTTAACTGCAAAAAAAACTGTATATTCAGTCTTTTTTAGTAGCCACTTAGTCACAAACACTGGCCAAAGTTAGCCTTCATATTTGTTTTTGTGTGAAAAAAGCAAAAAAACAGCATATTTGGCCGGTGTTTGCAAGTGGTTACTAAAAATGACTGGACATACCTCATTTGCAATACCTTGGGTTGTCTACTTTTGCAAATGGTATACCATCATGGGGATAATTCTCATTCCTGGGCTACCATACGGTTTCAAAGGCAACATAACCAAAAGTTACACTTTCTGCCTAGGTTGTCAGGCATGTCAATCAAATTTTAATTAATTAGATCACATAATTATGTTAAAAGATTATTTAAATATACACGTAGAGTTGGAATATATATACATATATGTATTTAAAGGACCACTCTAGGCACCACTAAACAACCTGATTTAACAGCCCTATTCTATACCGGACTACTCAGTGCCCCTCTGAACCCCACTTTTAACTTTTAAATTCTATTCTAAATACCCCTTTACTTACCTTCTTTGTAGCGCTACGTCACCGATCGTCGACACCTCCCGCGCGGTCATCGGGTCTGCTGACTGTTTTCCCCGCTGTCCGCTAATGAATTTCCTCTCATAGGAAATCATTGCGGCCGAAAAGCGCATGCGCGGCCGAAAAGCGCATGCGCGTCCAACGCAGCGCTCAGCCAATGAAAATCTTCTCATAGAGATTCATTGGCTACAATGAATCTCAATGGGAAGAATTTCTATGCATACCGCGCATGTGCGCGTTCACGAGCGACGAACTGAGTGACATCTCAGTTCACCGCCCACTGCCCTCCCTTAGCCCACCTCCCATTCCTGTAGCCCTGGTTTTCTATCAGATTCAGATACCTTCTGAATCTGATAGAACACCAACTCTCACCACCCTGCGCCAGTCAAGGAAACCAGATTCAATAGTAAATATCTAATTTAAATCTAAATTAAAATTATATATATATATATATATATATATATATATATATATATATATATATATATATATATATATATATATATATATATATATATATATTTGTGTTAGGTGCTTAAGATAGTACAGTATGAAATACCATGAATAAGCGTAGGATGATAAAAGGAGCAAGTCGGTTGTGGTGTGCCGAAACCGACGATGAGGTAGGCCTGAGAAAGAAGAGGGCCCACCCAGGAAAAGAAATAGAAAGGAAATAAATGTTAAAAGTGGTGTGGTGGGAGGGTCATTCAACGCTGACCTCGAACGGTAAGGAGCAAGGTAAGGGGAGTGCCTTAAGTAGGCTAGGGGTAGCAAACCAGCACCTCCCACAAATGCAGGCAAATTGCCTTAATACTTGTGTTAGGTGCTTAAGATAGTATAGTATGAAATACCATGAATAAGCGTAGGATGATAAAAGGAGCAAGTCGGTTGTGGTGTGCCGAAACCGACGATGAGGTAGGCCTGAGAAAGAAGAGGGCAAAAATTAAGTAATCAAATTTATTAACAGACAACCAATACATATACATTTATCAACCAGACATGTTTATGAAAGCATCCCTTAATTCTTGTACTGGGTTCGGTATGTACCGTGAGTAAGCGGATGACTTCCAGCGCCCCAGTGTTTTGATAACATGAGTTGGGATGTTGACACTGGAGGCTGTGGACGCGGCTCCTATACGAAAGGAGTGTCCTGAGTATTTGTTTGCGTTGAGGCCCAGTTGTGTGAGCAAGGACCTGACGTAGGTCATGAAGGTTGTAGTGGTGAGTACTGCACCTTGTAGTTGTAATAACGGTTGCGAGGGCAGTAAGTGATGGTGCTGTATGTAGGCATCAAGAACCTTGACGGGACACCATCTGTTGTGCGTGGGATAGTACGGAATGTTTACAGGTATGTGCTGGCTGGTTTTGGAGTGAGGTAAAGACAGGATGTAATGATCCATATGTTTTGTCAAGTGGGAATAGAGAAGGAATGGAGTGGTTTGGGTCGTGGAGGTCGTAGTGAATTCTCTGGGTCGTAGAAATCCATAGAAAGCGATGTATATTGCTGTTTTGATGATAGAATTCATATTAGTGTCAAACGGTTTTAGGTCAAGTAGGTTAGATAATGCTTTGAAGATATGGTTATCTATGGGTAGCCTCTGGGCCAAATGTGTGGGTTCTGATTTTTTAATACCTCTGAGTATGGTCTTAATTTGGTGAGATGCCATGAAACTGTTGTTATTTGGGTGTAAGATGAGCATGTGGTGTTGAATGCCAGTGAGATAGAGTTTGATGGTGTTGTATGACATTTTGAGTTTAAGGTGGCAAAAGGAAGCAAACCCCAAAAAAGATGTCATAACAAACGGTTGTATGATGTTATGTTCCAGAAGGAATCGTTTGAATAGTGTAAAAGCCCTGCTGTATGTTTTGTTTGTATTGTTTGAAAGTGCCAACTGGGACAATGCCCTGCTATGCTGCATGATGACGTCTAGTCCAGTATGAGTTGTTGAAATGTTGGAGTGATGGTGGCTGTGGGTGCTGCTGACGGGAGTGCTTGATGAAACTCCTGAAATTTAAAGCGAGACAAATTGTCAGCAGCTGTGTTATATACACCTGGCACATGGAAACCACATAGGAAGAAATTATGACAAGCTGCCAACCAAGTGAGTTTCCTCAGAAATCTCATGATCGTAAGAGATTTGGAACGACCTTTGTTGATGATTTGCCTGGTTGTCTGAATAACAACGCACTGGCGTATTAGTCCATAAATGACCCCATGCTACGGCAGCCGCCACTATGGGGTAGCTCTCAAAAAGAGCTGAGGTAGTGGAAAAACCTTCCAAATCCTGAACTGCTGAAGGCCAGCTGCCCCAAAGCCATTCGTTCCCAAAAATTGCTGCAAAACCAGTGGTAGATGCCGCATCTGACCAAATGGTAGGAGATGATTCAGTCAATTGAGGGAGGAACATACTTTTACTATTCCAAGTGGTTAAAAATCTCTTCCACATGTTTAGATCTGCCGTAGCTTGGGCATCTAAGGACAACCTGAGCGTGTCATGTAGAAAAAGTGGGAAAAGATGCAATAGTTGTGAAATAAAGGAGCGGCCTTGAGGTATGATGCGCATCGCAAAATTTAGTGACCCTAGCAGGGACTGTAGCTCTTTGCGGTTGCAAGTGCCGAGCTGTAGGTAGTTGTTTATGTAAGTGAGAATATTCTCTATCTTATCGCATGGTAGGCTTGCTTGCATTGTGGCAGAGTCTAATTGGATACCCAAAAAAGTGATAACCGTGTCTGGCCCTTCTGTTTTCTTTGGGGAGATGGGTACACCTATTTGCTCAAACAGCTAAGTGGTAGCTTTGAGGCTAGTGGGAGGTGAAGTATTCTCCTCGACCAGTAGGAAATCGTCCAAGTAATGTAATACCGTAGGGCATCCGGCTATGTTCAATAGTAACCAGCATAATGCTTCAGCAAATGTGTCGAAAATAGTTGGGCTACTTTTGGACCCAAAAGTTAACCAGGAGAAAAAATATTAGTTCCCGGACCACTTGATGCCATGCAGGTGCCACAGTGTGGGGTGGATAGGGAGTAACTTGAAGGCGTTAGTAATGTCGGTCTTACTGAGCCAGGCTCCAACTCCTGCTTGTATGATAGCTGTAATGGCGTGATCTATGGTGGTGTATTGCAGAGAGAATTCCTCAGAGGGTATGAGGGAATTAAGACTGGGGTTGGCCGATGAGTGGGGAGCCGATAAGTCAATGATGGAACTCTGTTCTTGGGAACATTTCCCTGTGACAATACCAATAGGGTTGGTGCGCCATTCTGTGAATGGAGGAGTTCTAAAAGGCCCCAATACAAAGCCCTCATCCACTTCTTGGGCTATGTTGGGCGGATTGTAGGTTAGGGCATTCCAGAGTTCCAGCTGGTATGTGTAGGATACCTGTGTGGAAGCCTTCTGTTAAACCAGAAATAAGAAAGTCTACCAGGTGTCTAGATGGGTGCTGAGATTGTAGGTTAGGGCATTCCAGAGTTCCAGCTGGTATGTGTAGGATACCTGTGTGGAAGCCTTCTGTTAAACCAGAAATAAGAAAGTCTACCAGGTGTCTAGATGGGTGCTGAGACATCAATGTTGTGAATACTGGCATATTAATGGACGTAAGGTAAGGCTTGGAATACATTTTATTTGGACACATGGTCTTTGCATGTGCCCTAAAACATTTTGAACAGACATGCAATAGTCTACATCCACTGTAATTACAAGACCCAACATTGAAATTATTACATACCTGGGACTTGCCCAGAAACTTGATTGGGCGTCCCAATTTGTCTTTCGATAGTTTCCCTGGATCCCCAGAGGAACTAGTTCCTTGTGTGGAGGCATGTCCGTCTGCCGTGTTGGGACAAAAATTAGTAGTATGGGCTGTGGAGGAGCAGTATGCACAAGCTGGTGTTCTTAGACCTGCAAAGTGTCTGCAAAATAAGACGGTATCAATCCTTCCCCAGTTGGATCGTGTTCCGTACTGGGAGAAGGCTCCAGCCACTTTTGCAGAAAAAGACCTATGGTAGTCATAGAATGCCGAACCACCATATTTGTTGCCCAGGTCTACCAGCTTGTGCATATAGAGATCAAACTCCTCTCTTCTGTTAGGATAAACCGCACAGATGACATCCCTGTAAATACCAAACGCTAGTACAAATTCAGGGATAGTCAGTTTCCTGTTCAGGCGGGCATCCCTAGATCTGACAATAACAGAAACATCATCATAAGCATACGTCTTATGTTCCACAATGTCCTGGGAGGCAATCAACAGGGAAGCCAGGTTGACGTCTTTACCTTCCAGGATATCCCTTTTGATATGCTCAGGTATCATGTGGGCCGGGCTAACTTCCTGGTCATCCAGGGTGCTGGCTGGAGAGTATAATGGCAAGGCTGGTGTTTGTACCGCAGCCGCGGGTGGCCCTGCTAGAGTGAGGGCCGTGGTGACCGACTCAAGTTTCTCCAGCCTGGAGTTGACCTTGCCCATGGATGCCATGAGTGAGGATAACATGGCATGTATGTCCCCTGGGTTGGACTGGCTAGATCCTTCCCCGGCCTCCATGTTATTAGTTGATGTGCGTAGCAGTTTGAAAAGTTCTGCCTTCCTTGCTGTAGCGGGGTAGGGGATTTGTCGTCTCCTTAATTCCGTGGTTATGCGCGGGATTGTCCAGGATCTGATTGATGCTGGACTAGCTAGCTCTCCTCCTTGTGTGGGAGTGACAGCTCTAGCCGGGGTGCTAGGCAAGGAGAAATCCTCTACCCCTTCCTGAGACATACTATAAATAAAACAATAATTAGTATATAGAACCACCAAATTGTACTGGCAGGCTAGCTAGGCCGGATGGCGAAAGTATTATACTTGTTTGGTGACAGGTGAGGCCCTGCTAATTGCCAAGCGGCTTGAGAGGCTCTATCTATGCGTTGGCGCGAGGGGTTATTGAGGCCACTTGACGTAGTGGCAGGAGTTTTAGGCCTCTCGGTGACTGTATGACAGAAAACAGGGGAAGGGAGTGACAGGTGAGGCCCTCTCTTTGCAACATGCGAGGCGGCTAGCTAACGTGTGGCCCGATGGGTGTTTGCCTCCGAAACGTTTGAGGCGGGGTGTTGGCCTCGCGGGACCACTAACTGATGGCGACAGCCAAGACGGGGTAAATACCTATTGGGAATCCTGTGACCCTATTGCCAGTACTCTAAACTAGGGGGATGAAATGAAATGTATGGTAGAATACCATATGAGCAGGTGTACGTACCTGGTAGTATGACAAATCACAGGAATAAACCGTGTGGAGCAATTATATAAGCTTGACAGCCTAAAAATGGGTAAAAGAGAGTAGTATGATGAGTGTGGAGTGTGAAAAGAAACAGACTTATAGTCCGTAGCAGCGATGTATTAAAATTATGTTGATACCATGGGAATAGCTATGAGTGGCTCAGAAATGTTAGCATGCTTGAATAAGACATCTGAGGGAGGCCGTGGCCTATGTACCAACAATCTATGTGTTACGTGATAATGGTGTGTAAAGGAAAACATGAAACGTAGGTTATATACATATGTATATGACTGTGCAGGGAACGTATGATTGGTTGGATCAGTACGTGTGATTCAACCCGAGTATGCATGAAAAAGGAATTAAGCCTTATGTGTCATCGTCATGACAGAGAAATGAGGCCTGTAATATAGGCTGAGTGAATTGAAATGAAATGGATAGTTATAAAACTCCTGGCGTGGTTTCAATGATCTGTACAGAAATGTAACTGGTTTTATAGAAAGGGACATGGATGAGGTCCTGGCCTATTTAACACAGCGTTATGTATGATATGTAGCAGAATAACCAAAGGCAGGGATACCCCAAAATGATTTAAAATGATGTAAAGTGATGTATATCTATATGATATATTGTATAGAAAAGAGGTATCAACCCGAGAATTATGCTTAAATGAACCTATATTCTTTGTATGTGTTGTAGTAATAACCCAGAAGTGAGGCCTGTAACATAGGCTGAGTCCATTTGTATAAATGGATAAGTAACGCAGACCCCTGAAAGCGTGGGAGTCAAATGGTATATACAGAGAAGTGGACGTAATACAATACTGACAATATTTTAAAAGTAATCAAAATAATCTATTTAAGCAAGCAATTCTTTAACCGAACGTTATATACACATGAAATGGTGAATATAATTCATGAAAGGATTATACGTGAACACACAGAAAAGCCGAAAGCAAATGTGAGGGAAACACAGAAGTTAGAATAGTTTAACCGTATGACTTATGCGAACCGAAAGTGTGTTTGAGCGTAAGTAAAAATTTGCCGAACGGCAAAACAACCGAATGATAATTCGTTTCAATGACTATTGAACGATTAAATATGTTCAGCCGAATGTCCGTACGAATGAAAAAGCCCGCGAATGGCTTGAAACATTCGTGTCATAACCAGGGAAAAAGCCGTAAAGCGAGGACCCGTGCTGTACCGTACGCCGTGGGAACCGGTCCTGGCGTGACAGGAAGGTCTGACTTACGGTTTATGAGTCCCTGGGACGCGATCTACGACGGAGACCGGAGTCAGAAGAAGCTGGACGGGCGGAAAGGCCTGAACAGGATTCCTGGACACAGCTTAACGTGGTGAAACCTCGTGGATACTGAAACCAAGATGGCGTCTGAGAGAACCCGGAAGTGGATCCTCATTCAACGCTGACCTCGAACGGTAAGGAGCAAGGTAAGGGGAGTGCCTTAAGTAGGCTAGGGGTAGCAAACCAGCACCTCCCACAAATGCAGGCAAATTGCCTTAATACATATATACATATATATATATATTTTTTTTTTATTATGAATGCTTTCCTATGTGACCGGCTGAATACGCGCGCAGCTCTTGCCGCGCGTACGCATTAAGCCGATGGGGAGGAGGATCGGAGGAGGAGAGCTCTCCACCCAGCGCTGGAAGAAGGTAAGTTTTAACCCCTTTCCAGAGCCGGGCGGGAGGGGGACCCTGAGGGTGGGGGCACCCTCAGGGCACTATAGTGCCAGGAAACAGAGTATGTTTTCCTGGCACTATAGTGGTCCTTTAACATACATATACAGTGCAGCAAGTAGAGGAGCTTATGAGATTTACATTTACAAGTAAAGTAAATAGCACTTAGCTGACGTTGGACATTCTCACAGATTACAACGTCAGATAAGTTCACTATAGGAATGCAATCAGCAATGCTTCACTATGGGAGAGGTTTAAAGGACCACTATAGTGCGAGGAAAACATACTCTTTTTCCTTGCACTATAGTACCAGGAGGGTGCACCCACCGTCAGGGTCCCCCTCCCGCCGGGCTATAGGGTGAGGAAGGGGTTAAACTTACCTCTTTATCCAGCACCGGGCGGGAAGCTCTCCTCCTCCTCCTCTCCTACTTCTTCTACTCGTCTTTTGTTGAATTTTTCAGGCACTCCATAAGAAAGCATTCACAATGCTTTCCTATGGACGCTGGCGTCACGTATGCGCCTCTAGCGGCTGTCAAGAGACAGCCAATGGAGTATGGATTAATCCATTTATAAACATAGCAGTTTGTCTGAAAATGCTATGTTTACAGCAGTCAGGGTTAAACATAGGTGGACCTGGCACCCCGACCACTTCTTGAAGCTGAAGTGGTCTAGGTGCCTATAGTGGTCCTTTAATCAGTGAGCGGCACAGGACATGCAGGCACATTTGGCACACCCTGCAGGATGACATTGCGGTAGGCAACAGAACAGACCAGCGCTGAGGTACACTTAAAAAAGTTTACGCTAAGAACTTTGCAATAAAATTTTTTGTGACCGTGTGGTCCGTAGTCACCTAAATGTAGATTAGGGCACTGTAGCGTTAGTAGTACAAACACACGTTTTAAAGCAAAGACCGATAATCTATAAACTTTAAAGGACCACTATAGTGCCAGGGAAACATACTCGTTTTCCTGGCATTACAGAGCACTGAGGGTGCCCCCACCCTCTGGGTCCCCCTCCCGCCCGGCTCTGGAAAGGGGAAAGTGTTTAAAACTTACCTTTTTCCAGCGCTGGGCGGGGAGCTCTCCTCCTCCGATCCTCCTCCTCCCCGTCGTCTGAATGCGCATGCGCGGCAAGAGCTACGCGCGCATTCAGCCGGTCACATAGGAAAGCATTCATAATGCTTTCCTATGGACGCTTGCGTGCTCTCACTGTGATTTTCATAGTGAGAAGCACACAAGCGCCTCTAGCGGCTGACAATGAGACAGCCAATAGAGGATTTGGGGGAAGGATTAACCCATTTATAAACATAGCATTTTCTCTAAAAATGCTATTTAAAAAAAAAAAAAAATGGGTTAACCCTAGCTGGACCTGGCACCCAGACCACTTCATTAAGCTGAAGTGGCCTGGGTGCCTAGAGTGGTCATTTAATGCGAATAGCCACAGCTTACCGATATTCGGTACATTTACGATTTCAAAATTATAAATAAATAAAATTTTGAAAGGTAAATGCACAAAATATACATGACACATGTACTAGATGCAGTGAGGGGCGGAGTCTGACCGCCGAACGGAGCAGAAGCAGGGGACACGAGCTCCTGCTCGACGGGCAGGAAAAGCGGCACAAACGAGGGCTAAATAGCCCAAAGACCTGCCAGGGTGCATCACCCACGTCGGGGGTGCACCCCTGAACCAAACGAGAATTTTTTTTTTTTTATTATTTTTTTTTTTTTTGGAGCCTGTAGGAGCTATAAAAGCGGGACACCAAGCGCGGCCTACAGAAGCCGGAGCCGGGGAGAGGAGGGCCGCTCTCTCTGACACCGGACCCCCTAAGCAACCAAGCAGGTCTCCAACCCCCCCCCTTTGGACCGGTGGGGGATATCCCGGTCCCCACTGGACAGACAGACCAGGCAGGCTGATCAGCCCCTTGGCTACATCGCCGGCAGGAACGCTGGACCACCGAGGTACACACAACATGGCCGCCAAGCAGAAGCCAAGATTGGCGGGCACACACGCCACACCACCAGCTGGCTGCATGGAGGGCTTTGACAGGCTCTGCAAGGGCCTCTGGACACTACTTCGCCACCGCGGAGTGTCCTGCAACCAAGCAGCCAGAACGAGCGCCTTATGGATCCGCCCTGTGACACGCAGACGCCATTACAGATACCCACTCCAAGCCAACAGGCCATCTAAACGGCCACGAAGGCGCCAAAAACCGTCATGGCGGACCATAGTACCAGGCTGCCGGAACCCACGCACTCGCACCCATGCACACAGCAGCTGGATCAACGAGCCATCCCTGCAGCCACACCACCTACTCACAACTCTACGCCCGGAGAAGATGGCTGAGCACCACGTGGCTGTACAGAAGGACGCCTCACACAGAAACACCACAGATGGAACTAAACCAGGGGGCCCCACTGAGCAGCGAGCTTTATATGGACATAGCAAGTATCTGCCACCGATGCCCGTAACAGGCATAGGCTGAGGGACTCCTGGCCTGCATAACTAAGCCCCCAGCTTGGGCCCAAAGCAGTAATACATACACCCCCCATCACTACGACCACATGCTAAATAGTATGCGTTGGCACCCTGTGCCTTTATAAACCCACTTTAGCAATAGCAGATCACCTGCCAGGCCACCCAGTGGAACCTCATTTCATGTAGATAGGGAAGCAGGGACATGTCCTGTTTGCCTTTACAATCTAAGCATTAGCTGCTGACTCCACCTTGTCTACAATGTGTTCTAGAGATCATATAAATACAATGTGTGACTAATCTCTAACAGTTTCATACCTTATATTTTGCAATGTGCTACCCGTTAAGCGACTATTACCTACTCCTCCTATTGTTAGCACAGATAGATCAAACATGTTTCTATTCCGTATGCATATCACTTCTGTTTTATAATATATAAAAATGTGCAGACATATTACTTGCCATGTTTGAAAATGTATGATTTTGCGTGTAACTGCTGTTGTGGCAACACACGCTCGTTGTTAAAACATGCACAACAAAAATAAAGAATTAAAAAAAAAAAAAAAAAAATGTACTAGATGCAGTGTGTTTATACAGGGGAGTTGTGTGTATTTGTGTATTGTGTGTATATAATGAATGCATAGCGTGTGTGTGTGTGTGTTTCTGGAGGTATGTAATTTAGGTTTTATTCTGTCAAATTTTTAATAAATGTTACCACTCAAAAACATTGATAAAAGTCACGCACAATGCTGATTCTGATGACGCAAGACAATTCTCTGAAATTAAAAACAAAACCATATTATATTTAAAAGAAATTAAAATTCATGTTTAAGATTAGTTGGATACGTAAATATGATTTTGACTGTGTGCCAGCAGGCGAAAAATGCAGCCCCAAGAAAGGAAAAGTAAAAATTCAGGGCAGCACTTTTCACGTGCTGAGCAACAGTGAAACTGTGGCAATATGGAGAAATGTATTTCTTCAACACAGCCGTTTTATGTATGCCCTCAAGGAAAGCACAGGAGAAGAGCCTGCCTTGCATGCGCTGAAGCGCAAGATGAAGGACAGATCTTTTCCTGCGCTCCAAGGATGGCATACTAAAATGGTACATACCGATTTGAAAAAACACAATACAACACTCCAAAACGGGTGGAAAAAAAAAATTCAAAGAAAGAAAAAAAAAAAAGTGAGTTTGACTGTGTGCCAGCAGGCGAAAAATGCAGCCCCAAAAAAGGAAAAGTAAAAATTCAGGGCAGCACTCTTCACGTGCTGAGCAACAGTGAAACTGTGGCAATATAGAGAAATGTATTTCAGCACCAGAACCTTTTGCATAGATATCTCTTTATCCTATATGTATAAGCATACAATAAGACAAAGAGAGCCAGGCAAACTTTACCCCAAAATATAGACAAATTAAAACTTACCGTAACCACTTTGAATTTTTCACAAATTCGATTGCGCTTTGAACGATTCGTAAATCTGCGTTCTGAAATTGAAAAGAAGATAAATATTATTTTAAAAAATAATTTTTTTTTTTTTTATATATATATATATACACGACTGTATGTATGTCTGTAATGTATTGTTTTTGGTGCGACATATGTAAACTAATAATTGAAAATAATGTATGCAGACATACAACTACATATATTAATACAATTAATCTCAGAAAATATTTTTAAAAATACATATGTACACACATAAAAACAAATATATATAAAATTAAATAGATTACATGTCATATGTAAACAAATCTAGATTTTTTTTTAAATAATGCAAATAGATCAAGTAAAGATTAAACAAATGACTAAAATTAAAAAATAAAAACAATACAAAGACATTAAATTAATAATAAAATATACAAATAGGATAAAAGTTTACTTACAGTCAATGTGCAGCCAGATTCCGTTAGGGGAGATGCTGCTTCTTCTTCTGTACTGCGTCTTCAGTGAGAGATTCTCTCTCACACACTGGCCTCCGAGGAATAAAAAAGGAATAGAAAGCTCTGCGCGTTCACATCTCAGCATAGTCTCTAATGCAGGCGCGCTCACATCTGAGCTGCCTGCATTAGAGGGAATGACGTTAGACGTCCAAGAGGACGTCTGACGTCAGCTCACTGTGATTTTAACAGTGAGGATTGAGGAAGCACCATCTAGTGGCTGTCTCAGAGACAGCCACTGTAGGTGGGAATAGGGGAAAAAAAATACACTGCTTTTTCTCTGAAACGGCAGTGTATTTAAAAAAAAAAAAAAAACTAGAGGTACCTGGCACCAAGACAACTTCATTGAAATGAAGTTGTCTTGGTACCTAGAGTGGTCCTTTAAATTCTACGTGTATACTTATGTAATTAGGATCTTGAGAAAAGTGTCTGGAGGACGGAAACGTTGACACCATTTACTGGAAATGTGATGCTTTTGAATAAACCGCACGATTTGAAATCATTCCGAGTCCTGTGAGTGCACTTCAAACAAGGATTTATATATGTATTTAATTATATATAAAAAAAACAAAATCCAGTTAGAATGAAATTACATATGTATATAATTTTATTAAATTTTGAAAAAAATACTAATTTTTTTTTTTTTAATTCTTTATTTTCGCGTGCTGCATAACAGAAGGTAAGTTTACCATATGCATTAATCAACATTACCACAAATGTCAACAATGGTTTAACAGAGCATGTTTGCTTATTTTATTTATTATTGTAATTATACGTGTATGTATGTATGTGTGTGTATATGTGTAACGTCATTCTAAGTGTATTTTAATACTAATATGTGCTTATATTAATATTAAAATACACTATATATGACGTGTTATTTATATATATATATACACACACACACACACACACACACACACACACACACACACACACACACACACACACACACACACACACACACACACACACACCGTTGCAAGAAAAAGTATGTGAACCCTTTGGAATGATATGGATTTCTGCACAAATTGGTCATAAAATGTGATCTGATCATCATCTAAGTCACAACAATAGACCATCACAGTCTGCTTAAACTAATAAACACACAAAGAATGAAATGTTGCCATGTTTTTATTGAACACACCATGTAAACATTCACAGTGCAGGTGGAAAAAGTATGTGAACCCTTGGATTTAATAACTGGTTGAACCTCCTTTGGCAGCAATAACTTCAACCAAACGTTTCCTGTAGTTGCAGATCAGACGTGCACAACTGTCAGGAGTAATTCTTGACCATTCCTCTTTACAGAACTGTTTCAGTTCAGCAATATTCTTGGGATGTCTGGTATGAATCGCTTTTTTGAGGTCATGCCACAGCATCTCAATCGGGTTGCGGTCAGGACTTTGACTGGGCCACTTCAGAAGGCGTATTTTCTTATGTTTAAGCCATTCTGTTGTTGATTTACTTCTATGCTTTGGGTCATTGTCCTGTTGCAACACCCATCTTCTGTTGAGCTTCAGCTGGTAGACAGATGGTCTTAAGTTCTCCTGCAAAATTTCTTGATAAACCTGGCAATTAATTTTTCCTTCGATGATAACAATCCGTCCAGGCCCCGACGCAGCAAAGCAGCCCCAAACCATGATGCCCCCACCACCATACTTCACAGTTGGTATGAGGTTTTGATGTTGGTGTGCTGTGCCTTTTTTTTTCGCCACACATAGTGTTGTGTGTTTCTTCCAAACAACTCAACTTTGGTTTCATCTGTCCACAGAATATTTTGCCAGTACTGCTGAGGAACATCCAGGTGCTCTTGTGCAAACTGTAAACGTGTAGCAATGTTTTGTTTGGACAGCAGTTGCTTCCTCTGTGGTATCCTTCCGTGAAATCCATTCTTGTTTAGTGTTTTACGTATTGTAGATTCGCTAACAGGGATGTTAGCATTTGCCAGTGACTTTTGTAAGCCTTTAGCTGACACTCTAAGATTCTTCTTCACCTCATTGAGCAGTCTGCGCTGTGCTCTTGCAGTCACCTTTACAGGACGGCCACTCCTAGGGAGAGTAGCAGCAGTGCTGAACTTCCTCCATTTATAGACAATTTGTCTTACCGTGGACTGATGAACAGCAAGAACTGGTGTGTGTTTTTTATAGGGCAGGGCAGCTGTAACCAACACCTCCAATCTCATCTCATCTCATTGATTGGACTCCAGTTGGCTGACATCTCACTACAATTAGCTCTTAGAGATGTCATTAGTCTAGAGGTTCACATACTTTTTCCACCTGCACAGTTACATAGTTACATAGCTGAAAAGAGACTTGCGTCCATCAAGTTCAGCCTTCCTCACATTTGTTTTTTGCTGTTGATCCAAAAGAAGGCAAAAAAACCCAGTTTGAAGCACAATTTTGCAACAAGCTAGGAAAAAAATTCCTTCTTGACCCCAGAATGGCAGTCAGATTTATCCTTGGATCAAGCGGTTATTACCCTACATTGAAAGATTATATCCTTGAATATTCTGTTCTTGCAAGTATGCATCTAGTAGCCGTTTGAACATCTGTATGGACTCTGATAAAACCACTTCTTCAGGCAGAGAATTCCACATCCTGATTGTTCTTACAGTAAAAAAACCTTTCCTTTGCCTTAGACGAAATCTTCTTTCTTCCAGTCTAAACGCATGGCCTCGTGTCCTATGTAAAGTCCGGTTTGTGAATAGATTTCCACACAATGGTTTGTATTGGCCCCGAATATATTTGTATAATGTTATCATATCCCCTCTCAGGCGACGTTTTTCTAAACTAAATAGGTTTAAATTTGTTAACCTTTCTTCATAGCCGATATGTTCCATTCCTTTTATTAATTTTGTAGCCCGCCTCTGCACTTTTTCTAGTGCCATAATATCCTTCTTTAGAACAGGTGCCCAAAATTGCACAGCATATTCAATATGGGGTCTTACCAGTGATTTATAAAGAGGCAAAATTATATTCTTGTCCCGAGAATGAATGCCCTTTTTTCATGCATGACAATACCTTACTGGCCTTGGCCACTGCTGATTGACATTGCACATTGTTACATAGTTTGTTGTCTATAACAATTCCCAAGTCCTTTTCATGTGTTGTTATCCCTAATTCGCTTCCATTAAGGGTATACGTTGCTTGTGTATTCTTTACGCCGAAGTGCATAACTTTTTGCATTTTTCAACATTAAATTTCATCTGCCATTTGAGTGCCCAGTCTCCCAGTCTATCTAAATCCCTCTGCAGCAAAGTAATATCTTGCTCACATTGTATTGTTTTACAAAGTTTTGTGTCATCTGCAAACACTGAAACATGACTTTCAATGCGGTCTTCAAGATCATTTATAAACATGTTAAATAGAAGGGGTCCCAGAACAGACCCCTGAGGGACACCACTTGCCACCTCTGTCCAGCTTGAAAATTTACCATTAATGACAACTCTTTGTACTCTGTTTTTAAGCCAATGTTCTACCCAAGAACAAGCATTTTCATCTAGACCTATTTCCTTGAGTTTGAACACTAATCTATTGTGTGGAACTGTATCAAATGCCTTGGCAAAATCCAAAAAGATCACATCCACGGCATCACCCTGATCTATACTTCTACTTACTTCTTCGTAGAACGCAATCAAGTTAGTTTGACATGACCTGTGCTTCATAAAACCATGCTGATTTTGCTGATAACCATGTTCTTCTCAAGGAATTCTTGAATATTATCCCTTAATAAACTTTCAAATATTTTACCAGCCACAGAAGTTAAGCTCACAGGTCTATAATTTCCAGGCAAGGATTTTGAACCCTTTTTGAATATAGGAACCACATCAGCCTTCCTCCAATCCTCCGGAACACTTCCTGAAAGAAAAGAATCTTGAAAGATTAAAAACAGAGGTTCACTTATTTCTGCACTTAGTTCCTTAAGTACACGTGGATGGATGCCGTCAGGCCCTGGAGCTTTGTTTATATTAACTTTCTTTAGTTGCTGCAGCACCTTGTCTTGAGTTAACCAATTACAATTATTCTGCAAGTTTTTAGTAGCTATCATTTGCACATCTATTGCCATAGGTTCTTCCTTAATATATACGGAGGAGAAATAGTTATTTAAAATTCCTGCCTTTTCCTGGTCTTCATTAATTAACACCCCCGTTTCAGTTTTTAGTGTACCTACACTTTCATTTTGGTTTTTTTTAGAATTTATGTACTTAAAAAAATGCTTTGGGGTTGGTTTTGCTCTCTTCAGCTATCATTATTTCATTTTGAAGTTTAGCAAGTCTAATTGCCTTTTTGCACGCATTATTTGCATCCTTATATCTTTTATAAGATGCATCTGATTTGTCCGATTTAAATGCTTTAAATGCCCTTCTCTTACTTGTAATCTCTTGTTTTACTTCTCTACTAAGCCATGTTGGTTTTAATTTGTTTCTTTTATATTTATTTCCCAATGGTACATACTGAGAAATGTACCTTTGTAATATTTGTTGGAAGATGATCCATTTATCCTCAGTGTTTTTTCTTTTCGCTAAAGAGTTAATGCCAGTCAATATATTGTAAAGCTTCCCTTAACTTATTGAAATTAGCCTTTTTAAAATTATATGTTTTAGTATTCCCCATGTGCTTTTGTTTTTTTGAGTTTATTTCAAAGGACACTATATTGTGATCACTATTTCCCAAGTGCTCACCTACTTGAATGGTGGTCAAAAGATCAACGTTGTTTGTTAAAACCAGGTTCAGACAAGCATCCATTCTAGTTGGTGCTTGTACAAGTTGTGACATGAAGGTGTCATTTAACAAGTTTAAAAACCTAATTCCCTTTGCTGAGGCACTAGTCCCTCTGTCCCAATTTATATCCGGATAATTAAAATCTCCAATAATTAAAGTGTTACCCAGATTTGCAGCTTTCTCAATTTGCTCAAACAGCTGTTGTTCCTCGTCAATATTAACATTAGGTGGTTTATAACATATCCCAACCAATAGCTGGTTTCCCTTCTTTTCCCCCAAGCAGATATTTACCCATAAAGCTTCCACATTATCCTCCTCGCATTCCATTTGCTTAACATTTGGCTTTAAATCATGTTTGACATACAAACATACCCCACCACCCTTCTTGTTTTTCCTATCCTTCCTAAATAGCATGTACCCATTTAAGTTAGCTGCCCAGTCATGTGTCTCATCCCACCATGTTTCAGTTATGCCTATTATATCATATTGTTTAGTGTATGCTAATGCCTCTAGTTCCCCATTTTGTTATTTAGGCTCCTTGCATTAGTAAGCATACATTTAATATTATGCATCACTTGTATATTTTGTGAATTTTCAACATTACACAGCTTCTCTGTTCTGAGCTTGCCCTCCCACCGTTTCCACCCCCCTTGTACTGTGCTAAAGCCCATCTCCTTTCTGTCCTATCTCCATTTTGTAGATTGCTATGACCCTCCCCCCCTACTACTAGTTTAAAATCTCCTCCAACCTTCTAGCCATCCTATCCCCCAGCACTGCAGACCCTCTCCCGTTTAGGTGCAATCCATCACCACTATAAAGGTTGTGAATGTTTACATGGTGTGTTCAATAAAAACATGGCAACATTTCATTCTTTGTGTGTTTATTAGTTTAAGCAGACTGTGATTGTCTATTGTTGTGACTTAGATGATGATCAGATCACATTTTATGACCAATTTGTGCAGAAATCCATATCATTCCAAAGGGTTCCCATACTTTTTCTTGCAACTGTGTGTGTGTGTATGTGTGTGTGTGTGTGTGTGTGTGTGTGTGTGTATGTGTGTGTGTGTGTGTGTGTGTGTATATATATATATATATGTGTGTGTGTGTGTGTGTGTGTGTGTGTGTGTGTGTGTGTGTGTGTGTATATATATATATATACACACACACACACACACCGTATTTTTCGCTCCATAAGACGCACTTTTTTTCCCCTCAAAAGTGAGGGGAAATGTCTGTGCGTCTTATGGAGCGAATGTGAAGCTTGACTTACCTGTCTTGTAGCGTGGGCCGGCTTCACAGCACGCTCCGCGGTACAGGAACCTTAATTTCAGGTTCCGGTTTCCGGCGGGACTGAAAGGAAGAGCACAGTGTGCACACTTCCTTTCAGTCCCGCCGGAAACCGGAACCTGAAATTGAAGTTCCTGTACCGCGGAGCGCGCTGTGAAGCCGGCCCACGCTACAAGACAGGTAAGTAATTATGTGACAAGGGGAGGGGGGGACTCTATGGGACTATGGGAGGGAAAGTGCACTATGGGACAAGGGGGGACACACTATGGAATGAGAACACTATTGGACAAGGGGAGGAGGGGTTAACAATCACTATGAGACAGGGGAGGAGGGTTTAAAGATAACTATGGGACAAGGGAGGGGGGTTAAAGATCATTATGGGACAGGAGAGGGGAGTGGGTGGTAAGGAACAAAAAATTGCTTAAAAAAAAAATAAAAAAATATTCTGAACAAACTGTCCCATAGTAAGAAACACCATGGAACAGTTCAGAATATTTTTTTTTCCTCCTCTAAAAACTAAACTAAAAATATATCTATTTGAAGGCATGGCCTGAAGTTGTGGGAGGGGCTATAGACCTATAAAAGGGACTCCCCCCTTTCCCTACTTACCTTTTGTTGGTCAGACGAATAGACTGTTCAAGGTCAGCATTTGCATGAGATCCACTTCCAGGTCATACAAGACGCCGTTTTGGTTTCACCTCTGCTACATGAGGTCTCCTACTCCAAGCTGTGTCCAGGAATCCTGCAGCAGGGCTTTCCGTTAATCCAGTGGCTTTCTCTCCGGTCAGCATAGTATTTGGTGTCTCAGGGACTCTCAAACCGTAAGTTGACCCATCTGTCGCGCCAGGATTAGTTCCCACGGCGTTCAGCACGGGTCCTCGCTTTACGGTTTCCTTTCGTTTTGCACGGTTATTTTGCTACCTTATACTCACCTAGCTGTTCATGTAAAATCTGTTTTGGTTAAAATCTGTTCGGTTAAAACTACAAACGAAATACAATTTTTTTTATTTTTTTTTCGCCTACACACTGGTGTACTACAGGCTTCTTAGACATTATCGCATTTCATGTACAAAGCAACGAACCACTGCATTTTTCACCTACATACTGACCCCTACCGGTCATTCAGTGTACTACAGGCATCTCAGACATTTATTGCATTTCATGTACAAACCAACGAACCACTGCATTTGCTCCTACACACTGACCCCTACCGGTCATTCAGTGTACTACAGGCTTCTCAGACATTATTGCATTTCATGTACAAACCAACGAACCACTGTATTTGTGCCTACACACTGACCCCTACCGGTCTTTTGGTGTACTACAGGCTTCTTAGACATTATCACATTTCATGTACAAACCAACGAACCACTGCATTTTTGCCTACACACTGACCTCTACCGGTCTTTTGGGGTACTACAGGCTTCTTAGACGTTTTTCGCATTTCATGTACAAACCAATAAACCACTGCATTTTCACCTACACACTCCTATCGGTCATTCAGTGTACTACAGGCTTCTCAGACATTATTGCATTTCATGTACAAACCAACAAACCACAGCATTTTCGCCAACATGCTGACCCCTGCCGGTCAATCTGTATACTACAGGCTTCTCAGATTTTATTTCACTTCATAAGCAAACAAACTAACTACAGCATTTTATACTGACTCCTATCTGTCAAACTTTTCAGACATATGGTTATTCCCCTCATAACATTCCCACTATAATTATAATTACACAATAACACTTCCTTACAACTCATGCTTGCTATGATATAATCATACCTGCCTACATAGGCATTTAGTTACATTTGCCGACAATACGCATACATTTACCCAAGAATGCACATACTATTTAAAGCACTATGCAGAATTCCAGAGTCTAATACGGAATATTTGCATGTTTGCACGCTTAAAATACAAGTCCTTCCAATTACGTATTTTCACATATTCGGTTATTCAGCTGCCAGTCATGGTTCACTACACTCATGTTTCGGGGTACAGTAGTATTCCATATCACACATGATATAACACTCCCGACAAGTTAAGTTCCTTCAAACAGGGGCATTACGAGCATTCAATAAACATTGGGACGGAGCACTTTGCTCTATTAAACTTGCATAACACACATATGGGTATACGCTTTTAAATGTCTATATATTCATTTTTCATACATTGATTTACCCGTCCGGGACATAGGTATTAATAACCCTTACGACCAGTAAGGGTATCTAATCATACTACCAGGTACATACACCTGCTCATGTGGTATATACATACATTTTCTGTTTCCCCCTGGGTATGTCCTTGGCGTACATGCAATTAGGGACTATAGGTTTCCAATAGGTATTCTCATTTCTTGGCATCTACGCCTGTCGTATAGTGGTCCCGCGAGGCCAACACCCCGCCTCAACGCTCGGAAGCAAACTCCCATCGGGCCACTCGCGAGCTAGCCGCCTCGCATGGTATATAGAGAGGGCCTCGCCTGTCACTCCCTTCCCCTTTTTTTTGGTTACAGTCACCGAGAGGCCAACATCCTGCAACTACGTTTGGTGGCCACAAAAATCCCCTCGCGCCATTGTATAGAAAGAGCCTCTCAAGCCACTTGGCAACTAGCAGGGCCTCACCTGTCACCAAACAAAGAATTAATTGTTTTGCCATGCGATTTAAGCTAGCAAGCCAGTACTAGCACACTGTGGGTTCATATAATAATGGCTATCTTCATGTTTTTAGTATGTGTCAAGCAGGAGGTAAGTATTTCTCTCTACCTAACACTCCAGCTAGAGTCAACACACTTTCACTTGGAGAAGTTGTTGCCAGTCCCACACGACAATTTTGTCCCAACACAGCGGACGATCACATTTCAGGCTCCAGGCTCTAACACCTCTGGTAGTACGTAGAGAACTACCAGAGACAAATTGGGTCATCTCATTCTCTTTGGCAAATCCCAGATTTGCAACAATTTCCATGTTGGCACATGTAGTTTCGGTGCATGCAGATATGCTCTCAATATGTCAGGGCACATGCAAACCATGTGTCCCAATAAATGTACCTTACTTCACGTCTGTAAACATTATGCATTTCCAGTACTTTCTAACTCCTCACCCTTCCAGACATTTAGCTGATTTCCTAATCTCCGAATTTTAAAGGACTTCCGTACAGGTATTGCCATATACTTTTTGGGGGAATCTAGAATGCCCTAACTTGCAGTAATCACAGCAGCATCCAACAGCAGGCATTACACTCATGACCCAAGAAATGGCAGAAAGATTTCTACTTGGGCCTCTCCGATCTACACCATTTACAGCGTGGCGCAATCCCATTGGGATTGTCACAGGGAATCTTCCCTCACGCTGTAACTGATCATAGACTTACCTGCACCTCATGCCTTGGCTACCCCAAGTCTAAACTCCCTCATACCCTCCGAGGAGTTTTCATTACAGTATGCCACCATTGTTCATACCATTACAGCTATCACTCAAGCAGGGGGGAAGCCTGGTTAAGTAAAATTGATATCACAAACGCATTTCAGACTGCCACCATCCACCCTACACTGGCACTTACAGGGCATTTATGGGCAACAGTTATATATTTCTTCTCCCGCTTAAAGGACCACTATAGTGCCAGGAAAACATACTCGTTTTCCTGGCACTATAGTGCCCTGAGGGTGTCCCCACCCTCAAAGTCCCCCTCCCGCCGGGCTGGATGGATCTCTTTCTCCAGCGCCGGGCGGGGAGCTCTCCTCCTCCTCTCCGCCTCTTCAGCTGCATGCGCGGCAGGAGCCGCGCTCACATTCAGCCAGTCCATAGGAAAGCATTTACAATGCTTTCCTATGGACGCTGGCGTCTTCTCACTGTGAAAATCACAGTGAGAAGCGCGGAAGCCCTCTAGTGGCTGTCAATGAGACAGCCACAGGAGGCTGGATTAACCCTAATAAAACATAGCTGGACCTGGCACCCAGACCACTTCATTAAGCTGAAGTGGTCTGGGTGCCTATAGTGGTCCTTTAACTTTCGGGTCAAGAGCAGCCCACAATCTTCAATATATTCGTTGAACTCTTTGCTGGTTATGGTTAAACCTATCCAGATGCCCCACTGTCATACACTCACGAGATGATTTCTTGTTGGTCAAAGGGAATGCCTTTACCTCTAGAAGTTTCAAGGAAGCCATTAGTATGTCTTAACACTTGGGTGTCCCAGTATTCCCTAAGGTCACAGAAGACCCAGACACTATCGTTACATTCCTGGGCACACAACTTGACTCTGCATCCATGCCAACAAGTTACCACGTGAGAAATAGGAACAGTCGCAACAACACCAAATTACCACCTCATGCTTGGTACTTGCAACCGCATGGAACTACAATCCCTACCAGGTTCCTTAAATTTTGCCATGCGCATCATACCGCAGGCCGCGCTTTCATTTAAGATCACTTTGCTTTTTCCACACTCCCGTGTGATGATCAGGGGCTGTTCCTAGACAACCAAGCCACGGCAGACCTACACATATGGTGGACTTTCTTAACCACACGTAATGGTAAACTATTGTGGCAGCTGCCGTGACAGCCGCCACGGCAGGGGGGTCATTTATGGTCAAGGTCATGGATTACATGAACCTCGCCAACATAGCGGACTCTGACAAAACTGGCCTTGTCCACCAGAACTCAATACACTTGCTATAGGGTTTTCCACTTATACAATACGTTTCATGTCGGACCATCACTTAGCTGGTTTTAGGTTTCACCACTTATGGCCTTCGCCTCTTTTTGCCACCTTAAGTTAAAAATTCTTGCACAACACAGTTAAACTTATCTCACGGGCATTCAACACTATACATATTTCTCCTTCCCAAACAAGGGTTCCTATCCTCCTACCCCATCCATACCTTACTTAGAGACATAGCCAAGCGGACATTCCAGCTAAAACTAGATACTGGCCATAGACCTACAATGTTCAAACCATGTCAGAACTACTCGACCATGCACCTTTCCGAGCCATGCACCAATGCAGTTATCAAAACTGCTACCTTTCTAGCCTTTAACGGCTTTCTCAGGCCAAAAAATAACTCCCTATCAGCAGCCAACATCATAAACAACCGTGCCTGTTGACCTCTTATCTTCTAAAACACACAGACCACTATGTCCCTTCCTAAAACTAAGACGAGTCAGATGGGCGAGCTAGTGCATATAACCTATGTAGCAAACTTAACCCTTTAAGAGAGTTTGCCATGAGCTTTTGGAGGGGCTTGCTTGCCCGCCTCCTGCCATGTGACTATGCCCCTGGGGGTATTGCCCTTTAAAGACAGTATTTGGGCATGATGGATTTTTATTATGCGGCTACTGGCCCTTTAAGCACGGTGTATGGACTTCTATTAGACTGTGTATAGATTGTGTATAGGAAGGTGTACCTCTCCCCGTTTCCTGTCCCATTGTTCTCTAGCTGGGCGTTGTCCCAGGCACACTGCCAGACTAGTTGGAACTGGTTTGGGCTGGAAAGCCATGCTTCAGTGGGCCTAAAGGGACCTCCACAAAACTTTAAACCCCCATAACTCCTGAACCCCTGATCTGATCTGGGTGATTTTTGGATATGTGTCTCACCCAGATCAGGGCTACCAGGGGATGTAATATTTAAAGGGGTACTCCTAGGTTTAGGGGTACATCCAGAAAACAAGGGGAACTGTGTCTTACATTAATGGAATTATGTGTCACACTAAGGGGAGGGGATGTGAGGGTGGCAACTCGTGTATGATCGGTGTATTGTGTAATTACTGTAAATCCCTCCCTTGCATGGGAGAATGCTTTTAAAAGAAGGTTGTGTGATTAAAAGTTGAGTTCCACTCCTGATACTGTGTCGTCCAGTTATTGGGAAAGGTGATGGGATATTATTGGATTGTATTGCTGATTGTGCTGGATATTCTCTTGGATTTATCACTTGTTCCTGCATCCTCTTAAAGTACTTGGTGGAGTTTAGCTGTGAGAAATCAGCTTTCCGCTACATTGGTGGCAGCGGTGGGATGGCGTCCTAGTGCGAGGTAAAGCAGCTCAGAGACACCGTTCGTGGAGTTACAAATTGAGGGCAACGCTAGCACACGTGCAGCGCCCCTGGGAGCAGAGGTATCCAGTGACTTGGAGCATACAAGTATGGAAGGCTCTAGCGATGATTGGATGGCCGAGTTGAGGCAGCGAGTGGCCCAGTATGGGGATGATGTACCATGGAGATACGCCGGGTGATCTGGAACCAGGTCACGGCCGAGCGAGACACAAGGCTGGCCTGAAAATGCCGGCTGGCGAAAGAGAGAGAGAGAGTATGCTCAGCGGAAGGAGTGTTACAGCAGCCGAGTAGAGGCTGCATCTGAGGAGGCTAGCCGTGTCCCAGGCTTCCGGAGGAACCCGAAGTAGGGGTCCTCATAGACTTGTCCGGTGAGGAACCACAACTGGCAGGTGGAGATGGGACCGAGGTCTCTCCACCGGGATGCTGGGCAGCCGGCCCAGATCCCCAGCAGCAGCCGGAGTTGCCAGGTGCGGAAGCAGGTTGTCCTTACTCGCAAATGTTGAGGGACCTCACAGACTGGTCCTGGGAAGACCCACAGATGGCAGGTGGAGATGGGACGGTGGTCTCTCTACCAGCCCTACAGGGATGCTGGGCGGTCGGCCCAGATCCCCAGCGACAGTATGTATCACAGGGAGCTGAAGGTGCTGTCCTTCCTCCCCAGCGGCAGTATGTATCACAGGGAGCCGAAGGTGCCGTCCTTCCTCCCCAGCGGCAGCGTATTTCACAAAGGGTAGACCTTATTCTCCCAGATGGGGCAGATGAGACAGTCAGTCTCGCTTCCCAGCAGCAGGACAATATATTGAAAGGGGAGACAGTCGGTCCCCCTCTCCACCAGCAGAGAGAGTGTAAGGGAGAGGAGCTTGTTACCCCCTCTCCCCAGCAGCAGCTTAGCCCACCAAGGGGAGACACTAAGCCCCCCCACCAGCGCAGATGGGACCGTGGTCTCTGCGCCCAAGCTACAGGGAGTACGGACAGTCGGTCCTGCTCCCCAGCGGCAGAGTATTCTACCAGGAGGAGAGAGTCTCGTTCCCCCTCCCCAGCGGCAGCATAGCCCACCAAGGGGAGATAAGCCCCCCATCAGCGCAGATGGGACCGTGGTCTCTGTGCCCAAACTACAGGGTGTAGGGACAGTCGGTCCTGTCCCCCTGCAGCAGGGCTGTTTATCCAAAGGGGAGACAGCCTGTCTTCCCCTCCAGCAGCAGCCCCAGGTCCGGAGTAAGGAGCCTACTACGCAATTCCCTCACCTGGCTCCAACCATGCTACTCTCGTGGTAGCGCTGGCACCAGGGCAGAGTACTGCTGGTCTCTGCCCACCCAGCAACCCACCGATCCAGAGTGCTAGTACCCCCCAGAGCCGAGGTGGAGCTCCTGGACCTGGACAAGCGACCCACTACTCCAGGTGTAGTAACCAATTTTCGTGGGTGGGTTATACTGCGGATTCTGTTTTGTGGGTGGGTTGCTGGACTAACCAAGGCACTGACCGACAGGAGGCCAGATACCTTGTTAGTCTTTTTTGGAAAGGGGAGAAATGTGGCAAAACCAACCTCGCTATTGGGCATTGGAGAAGCCTGTTTGCCCACCTCCTGCCTGCTGACTATGGCGCTGGGAGATTTGGCCCTTTAAATACAGTATTGGGGCATATTGTATTTTATTATGCTGCTGCTGGCCCTTTAAGAACTATCTGGGGACATACTGTGGAGTTATTGGGTGGCCACCATTTCATGTATCAGAGGCACATGGTGAGAACAATGGATGAAGCACATGGTGAGAACAATGGATGGCGGCCATTTTAACTCACAGACACTGTTTGGACTTTCTGCACGGTGCCATCTCGCCAGTATTTGGTGCACGAAGACATCGTTCAGTAGTTTTAAACTATACAACAGGGGACACATTATACAGTAATTATTTTTCATATAGCCTGTATATGTTCTGCGGAATCTGCATTAAACTGCATCTTCCAAACTACAGAACGGATCTGGGTGAATTTTGGATATGTGGTTCACCCAGATCCCCCGGTTCTGAGGATATACTTTATGGGGTTATTGCATGTTTTGGGCTCCCTGTGATATGTTTTATAATACTGTATTTCTCTGCCTGTGATAATTAGATTAACCATTGTGTTCAGTAATCGAGTGTTTTCCTGGCACTATAGTGGTCCTTTAACAAATGCACTATGATCCTGTATAATGTTTTGCATTAATGTCTCTTTTTGACCACTTTTTACTGGCCTACAGCATACGTCTGTTTCGGCACACCTCAACTGATTATTCCTAAAGCTACATCTCTACAGCCCATCTTATTCTATATCATATGAGAATTCCCTGAATATAAATAAATAAGTAAAGTAAATTAAAATTTTTTTATATATATATATATAAATATAAAAATTTTTTTTTTTTTTAATTTACTTTATTTATATTCAGGGCATTCTCATATGTATATATCTCATATATATATATATATATATATATATATATATATATATATATATATATATATATATATATATATATATATATATATTTTTTTTTTTTTTTACAGAATCCAGTGCACTCGCTTATTCACTAAACAATGATTTCAATTTTTTATTTATTTTTTTTGACAATCTTTATTTAGTATCTTTTTCATTTGAAGAGACCAGTAACAGTCAGAGGCACTACAATGTGTCTGCATCAGAGTCAACATCTTGAATAAAACAAAAAAGGAAGAAAGGGAACTGTGCACTTCTAACAGTTGGCTATACCCAGTGTACCAGCCTGAGTTCAGGTCTGCGGCTGCAGCCTTGTCTGGTAGCTAAGAAGGATATAGAATGACCTCTGCTGTTTTGGTATTTTTGGTCGTCTCCCCACCATGTTTTCCCGGCTGCGCCCTAGCCATCTGTGTTAGGCAACAGTATGCCGGTTCTCCACTTGTGTGTTAGTTGTAGCCACAAACTTATTTTTTATTTTTATGAGCCCTTTTAATATCAGTATCGGGTGAACTACTGTTGCGGTTACGGTATGTAATCTACAGTCATAGCGAACCTCTTAGGAGTCTATAATCCACAGTTCGTGGTCATGGCTTCTCAGTTATTTCACCATTGTGAGGCCTGCGGGCTAGGGCGTATAGGCTCTTCGGGCTCTTGTTGCTGGCAGTCAGTCATTAAACTGGGCTGGTCGGTCATGGGGGGGTATGTCCGGGCTTCTGTCTGTGCCGCAGCCTGATGGGTTGCTGGTGTGAGAGTCTATGCGTTTGCTTCGGGTCAAGTCAGGTTTCCACCCCAGGAGCTATTCCATTCTGCCACTGTGTCTCTCTATCTACTTATTATGCAAAGGTCTGGGCTTATGTCTCTCATGCTGATGCGCTTTCTTATTTTGGTGTCGTAGGTGTGGGTATCTTGTTTCTGTCTAGTTTTATCCAACTGTTGAGTGCTTCCCATCCTATCCAGGGACGTATCGTGTCCCTAATGTGGGTCTGTCCGCGTGAATATGTAATCCCTCTGGTCGTTTGGGGGATAGTCCGAGGTCCCGTCATGAGGTGGGGGGTGGGGGGGTGGGAGATGTTGACACAAGGGGTAATGGGTAGGTGGGGGGTTTAGGTATGTGTGCTCTGGGCTTCTGAGAGCCCCTGAGGTATTGTGTTTGGGGTTTTAGAGGCAGCTCTAAGCCTGTGACTTCTTGTATCTCCCCCCTGATTGTCTCCCAGTATGGGGTGATTGCGGGGCATGTCCACCACATGTGGAAGTATGTGCCGGGGTGCGTGCCACATCTCCAGCATGTGTCCGGAGTGTTCTCTTGCATGCGGTGTAGAGTGTCGGGTGTTCTGTACCATCGAGTTAATATTTTGTAGTTCAGTTCTTCGAACTGATAGAGCACTTGTGTGTGAGCGTGTAGATCTTGTCCCATTCCTGTGCGGAAAGGGACTCCCCCGTGTCTTTCTCCCAGTGGTCCTTGAATCTGAGCACCACATCCCCACTGGTCTGGGTCTGGAGTGTGGCGTATAGGGTCGAGATACCCCTGGGTATGTGTGTTCGGTGTACGCACAGAAGTTCAAAGCTGGTAAGGGGTCTGAGCAGGTCCCCACGTCCCGGTAGGGATTGGAAGTACTTTTTTATCTGGTGGCAGCGAAACTGTTCGAGTAACGTTGGCGTTCTGCCTGGGTAGAGGTCTCTGAGTGGTTTAAGTCCTTGTGGGCTGAACCATTGGTGCGGATACATCCAGTCGGACGGTTGGAGGCCAGATAGGTCATTATGGGTTAGGGCATCTGCAAGGTCCAGGTTGTGCGTGATGGGCGTTAGGGGGCTAGGTGAGGTGGTAAGCTGTAGTCGGTAGCGTGTAGCTATCCACACTCTGTGTGGCATCGACTAGGGGTTTTTTGGTTTGTAGGTCTGTGTACGTGGTGGTGTGCAGCCACAGTCTGGAGGGTATTTTCCGATCTGTCTGCTCTAGTTCCAAAGACACCCACTGTTTCAAAGGATGTTGTACGTGCCAGTCCGTTAGTCTATGCAGGTGTGTGGTGCGATAGTACGTCTCTATGGAGGGTAGTCACGTTTCCCCCCCACCCCCACCAGCCATCTGTTTTGGCTTTGGGTGTTGTTGTTTTTTTTTTTCGTGCGGGTAGGGCGGGAGATCCAAACAAACCGGCGGATGGCGGTTGTTATGGAGCTGAAGAAGGCTCTGGGCACTGTGATCGGCACTGTCTGGGATAGATAGCGTATTCTGGGCAGCACGTTCATTTTGACTGCATTGATCCACCCAAACCACGAAATGTAGTGTGGGGACCATTTTTTAAGGTCTGCCTGCAGTGATTGAAGTAGCGGGAGATAGTTATGGTGGTATAGTTGAGACGGGTCCTTGGGTAACCATATACCCAAATATTTCAGTTTGGTGTTGCACCACTTGAATCGGTACTGGGTATAGAGGTGTGTTAGGGGATCTTTGAGGGTCGGTAGGTGGAGGGCCTCAGACTTATCAGTGTTGAGCTTAAGGTTAGAAATCGCTCCATACTCTCGGAAAGAGAGGAGGTTGGGTAACGAAAGCAGCGGCTGTGTGAGAAAGAACAGCATGTCGTCCGCGTACGCAGCTACTCTGTATTCATTACGACCAACGCTGAATCCTGTGATTCCCCCGTTCCGTCTGACCGCCCCCAGGAATGGTTCCAGGGAGAGAGCAAACAGGAGGGGGGACAGTGGGCATCCCTGGCGGGTGCCATTTTGGATCGGGAAAGGGGCAGACAGTGCCCCATTAATGCGGATCCGTGCCATGGGACTCGTGTACAGGGAGAGCACCCATGACAGCATGTGTGGACCGAATCCCATGTATGCGAGTGTGTTCTCCAGATATTTCCAGTCTACCCGGTCAAAAGCCTTTGATTTCAAATCTTAGAGATTAAAGTTTTATTTAAAGACACTGCATAAGCCTGCCAACTACGTCAAAGTACCCCATATTCGGCAGGTCCTATCCTAGTAGCAGCCTAATGCTTGCTCTTATGAGATTAATCCACTTACTTGGGAAATACTTCCTTACTTGGACTCTACAAGTCAAGGCTAAATAGGGTCCTGGAATGAGGCACCTGTAACAGGGAGGGGTGCAAAACCAAGGAGTTGGCCTGGGACTTCCAAATATATAAAAGAAACCAAGAGAGCTGCACTCACCTGAACATGAATACTTTATAGGGTGCTGCTGGGGCCAAAATATACAAAATACAGAATCCAGGGCACTCGCTTATTCACTAAACAATGATTTCAAATATTAGAGATTATAATAGTTTTATTTAAAAACACCTCCCCTAGACAAAAATGATGGGGGTTTAGTTACATTATGTGTGTGTGTATATGTGTATATGTATATATGTGTGTGTGTGTGTGTGTGTGTGTATATGTATATGTGTGTGTGTATATATATATATATATATATATATATATATATATATATATATATATATATATATATATATATATATATATATATATATATCTCTATCTATATCACACACACATTTATTTTATTTAAAACATGTTTAATTTTTTTTTTTTTTTTTTACACCTCCCACCAGCAGAGGTCCCCTTGCTGGCAGATCCACAGCCAGCTATAGGGGGCCATATTTGCCGTGGGAGGGCTGCCTGGGCTGTTAGGCAGTCCTCCCAAAGAGGATCGCGGTGAAGGTAAGTACCGCGGACCTCCAGGGCTGTAAGCCGTTACGGTGTTCTATGCTGCCGCAGCGGCTTTAAAGCCCATTTAATGCGGGACGGCAAAGAACGCTAAATTTTTATTTAGGACCGCCACTCGGGGGGGGAGGACAGTAGGTCCTCCTTATTGTTATTTAGTAGGTTTTTTTAAACAGTGAGGAGACACAGGCTGCTCCCTGTTTAGTGGACATGCCCCTACTTGCGGTATAGCAAGTAGGGGCATTGGGGAGATTTTAATCTCCCTTATGCTATTATGGGGTCATATTGACCCCCATAGAGTGAGGGGGGACCTGGGGGGCTTATGAAGTTGCGGGGAGCACACTCTGCCGCTTCTATCTTTACATATTACAAGGAGGGAGCTGCGTGCCTGTTGTTCCCTCCTTGTAATAAACTGAACGAACAAACGAACACTGATATTCAGTGTTTGTTTGTTCGTCTGACATTTCTATTCACTGGGCATGTGCGGGAATCTGTCTATCTAGTGTGGGCAGATGATGTGTCCCACAGGGACTTCATCTACCCACACAAAGATGGCGGCGCCCTGAATATAGATCAGGGCAGAAAATAAAGATTAACAAATAGGTAATATGGGGGGCTTAGGGGCATTTGGGGGTGACTAGGGGGTCACTTAGAGATGCGGGAGGGGGGTTAAAATAAAAATAAAAAAACGGGATTCGGCCATGACAGTGCTGCTTTATTGGTACATTTTCAAGCTGGACAAAAGTGGTAAGTAGTGTCCTTCAGGGTTGTATTTTGGGACCACTTCTATTTAACATGTTTATAAATGATCCTGCAATAGAGATTGAAAGCCATGTTTTAGTGTTGGCAGATGACACAAAACTTTGTAAAGTAATACAATGTGAGCAGGATATTGCTTTGCTGCAGAGGGATTTAGATAGATTGGGGGATTGGGCACTCAAATGGCAGCTGAAATTTAATGTAGAGAAATGCAAAGTTATGCACTTTGGGGTCTAGAATGCACAAGCAACTTACACCATAAATGGTAGTGAATTAGGGATAACCACACACGAGAAGGATTTGGGACTTGTTATAGACAATAAATTAGGCAGCAGTGTGCAATGTCAATCTGCAGTTGCTAAGGCCAGTAAGGTTTTGTCATGTATAAATAGGGGCATAAATTCTCAGGATGAAAATATAATTTAGCCTCTTTATAAATCGCTGGTAAGACCACACCTTGAATATGCTGTGCAGTTTTGGGCACCTGTTCTAAAGAAGGATATCATGGCATTAGAAAAAGTGCAGAGACTAGTTGCAAAATTGATAAAAGGAAGGGAGCATTTTAGTTACACAGAAAAGGTAAAAAATGTAAATCTCTTTAGTTTGGAAAAAACGGCGCCTCAGAGGGGATATGATAACATTATACAAATATATTCAGGGTCAATACAAACCATTGTTTGTAAATCTATTCATAAACAGGGCTATACATAGGACATGAGGTCACGCATTTAGGCTGGAAGAAAGGAGATTAAATCTAAGGCAAAGTAGTTTTTTTTTACAGTAAGAACTACAAGGATATGGAATTCTCTGCATGAAGAGGTGGTTTTATCAGAGTCCATAGAGATGTTTAAACAGCAATTGGATAAATACTTCCAAAAACATAACATACAGGGATATCCTTTCTAATTAGTGGGGTTAACTGCTTGATCCAAGGAGATATCTGACTGCTATTTTGGGGTCAAGAAGGAATTTCTTCTTAGTTTGTTGCAAAATTAAAAGCGCTTCAAACTAGGTTTTTTTGCCTTCTTTTGGATCAACCGCAAAAACATGATGGATGCAAGTCTTTTTTTCAGCTATGTAACTATGTAATCACTAAATATTTGATTGGCAGGGATTTATACTTTGTGTCAAAATACTGAAACTGAAGTCCTAACTGACTTGCAAGGTCATTCGCTAAACTGCAAATTGTAGCAAACTGAAATCTTAATTGCAATATTAAGGGTCCACTATAGTCACCAGAACTACAGTTTAATGTAGTTGTTCTTGTGAGTTATATCATTTTTTGCAGGCATTTTCATGCAAACGGTAGTGTTTACATTGCCCTCTAGGGATACGTCCAGTGGCCACCCCTCAGATGGATACTAGAGGTGCTTCCTGTGTGCAGAACTGCTGTTCAGCGTCTCCACGCTCTGCATGGAGACACTGAATTTTCCACATAGAAATGCATTTGCATCTCCTATGAGTAGGTGCTGATTGGCCCTGACCTGTCCCGCCTCCTTGGCGATTTCAGCCAATCCAATACTTTTCCTATGGGAAAGAATTGGATTGGCTAAAAATCGTACATTGTGATAACATTCTCAAGGAGGCAGATCGAGGGCAGGGCCAGCACCGACAGACCCGTGTGGCGCTGAAATTTTTTAATTTTTTTTTTATTACCTTTTTAAGGGGGTTGAGGGAGGGTAAGCCACCTAAATGGTGGTTTTAACACAATAGGGTCAGGAATACACGTGTTCCTGACCCTTTAGTGTTACTTTAAAGCAAAAAATAGCGGTTTGGAAAATATTCTCCAATCCATCTATAGTCACAGCTTGACTAGTTTTACCTCTGTTTTGCAATTCAGATTTTGATGTGTTATTAGTTTAGTGGGCATACTCCATAGATTATTATATCTGCTTGTACTGACCGGATTATTCATTAAAGTGATAATTGTTGTGAATTCAAAGTGAATTTTAAAAGACCACTGTAGTGTAAAGAATACAACCTGTATTGCGAACTCTATAGTGCTGGAATAGCAGTTTAGGTACCCAGCCCTCTCTGAAAAGGCAGCGTTTACATTAAGCTGTAGTAGTTCTGGTGACTATAGTGCCTTTAAGGCCAAATGTACCCAATCTGGTAGCATAGCTGACTTGGAGAATTGTTCAAGTTCATCACCTTTGGCCTTAAATGTAAGAATTCTTGACCATTCACTTTAGTGGATAACCATTTAAGTTCTTATTGAATGTATTTATTAACCATGCAATAATTCTTTCTTTCTGCAGGCCTACAGCTCAAAGCCAAGTGTGCCTATTATTGCAGCCAAACACCCATTTAAATTGGAGGTGAAGGCAGGAAAGGTTTATCCGTGGTGTGCATGTGGTCATAGCAAGAAACAGGTCAGTGAATATCCTTTCTTCTTATTAATGCTTTGCATTTTTTGCCACAAATAGGGAGTGTCTGTTTTCATTTAACACAAATATCTATGCCCAGAGTAAAGACATTTATTAACTGTCTAAAACACTTCCGCTAGTTGCCCCTTGTTTACAAATAAGTGACTATTTTTAAAAGAAATCATTAATTTTCAAAATGTTCCTGTTTACACTTTCCTGGCTGTCAATAAATCAAAAGGCAAGTAGGGGTTTCTTCTCTATAAGACCCATTATATTGGCAGAGAGTGGTGACTGATTTGCGGGCACTGTAGGACCCCAATGCTTCTCCATGAGAAGCATTGTATAGGCCTGGGAGATCATCAATCATACTGATCTCTTGGTGCTGCAGCAACTTAGACCATCGCACCGCTGTATTAGAGGTGACTTCTATGTTTGGCCTAAATCTAAATTTAAACTCTAGAGTGTTCCTTTAAATGTTGCTAAATTTCTATTCAAGCAGCATTAACATGGATCTGTCACACTCCCTTTATTAACCAAAGACTTTATTGGATTAGTCGCGTGATTAATAATCTGATCAGTTTTTACCATCCCTTTGGTGGACGCTAAAAAACGCCCTGGGCATTTCAGTAGTATGAGTGAGATTAAATTGCCACTAATGCAGAAACGGCATTGTTTTAGTGTACTGCAGTCCTTTAGCTTAGGAGAGTTGACAGACGTTTGTAAGCAGGAACTTATAACTCTCAGACACTAGTGAGTGGTGCCTGAAAGACCCCCAAGTAAGAAGTGAAACTGTTCAAAAACAGTTTGATTCCGTACAATGGAAGGCCCCTAGGCTACCACTGGCACAGAAGCACTACAGCAAGCTTTAGTGATTATGGTGCTGGCGTGTTCCTTTAAAGAAGGATGGTCCATTTTGGACCCTGACACTAAATAAAAGATTGTTGAGATATATAGATAGATCTATAGAGATAGAGAGATATATGTATGTATTGGTCCAGTTTCAAAAATAAAATTATAAAGTGTATAATAGTATTATTTGTCAAGGTAAATAGACTTCATTATTAATCCAAAAGTTGATAGGTTCACTTTAATAAATATTTTCTAATCATTTAGCCTCTATGTGACGGTTCTCATCGGACTGCAGCACCTGACCTTGCACCCCTGCGTTTCACCCCTACTGAGGACAAGACATTATGGCTTTGTGGCTGCAAACAAACAAAAAAAGCTCCTTACTGTGACGGAACCCACAAGCAGAGCCATGTCCAGAGTTTTGTTCCGGAGTCTGGTACCTAAAGCACTGACATGCATGGTATTCATCTGTACACAGTAAAATGGATTGTAATAAGCTCTGCCTCCTGGAGGGATGTGGTTCAGCCCTTCATAATCAAACTGTTAATTTATCGCTGATTGCAACATTTAATCTTCAATAGAATTCTCTGGTTTCTTGTGAAAATATAAAAGGCATTTAAAAGAAATGGCATATACAGAAAATGTCACTTAATGCACATAGATCTCTAGATTCATTTTTAGACTGGTCTGTTTATGGATCATTCGAAGACAACTCAACTCTGCATTTTAGAATACGCAGGTCACACAAGATGCAGAAATAGACAAAAGTAAAAACGTCAGTTGTAATGAAAGCTGTGTTCTAATTGGATGCTTTCATCTGAATACATCAACAATTTCATTTCTGGCCCATAAACAGAACTTCTAAATAAGTGTACTATTTCAAAATTCATGCTTTATTTAGAAATGTAATTTATTTTTTTAAAGCAAGCACACGTTTTAATTTTATTGTTGCATACACTTCAATCTAATTTAAAAGTTCACTTTTATGTAACAATATATGTTTAAAGGGATTCTATGGGCACCATAACCACCTTCTCTCATTAATGTGGATACGGTGCCTGGATTCCTTTGGTGTTTTTCCATGATTCACCTGCTGGAGGAGTGGCTAAATTGGATGTCAATATTCTGCATTTATAGCCTGATAGAACTCAGCTGAGTTCTAGCAGTCTCTCACTGCTGGCCATTGGTGCCAGGGTTCATGGATGATGGTTTAACATTGAACAATGTCATAGTGCCAAGAGTGTCCTTTTAAGCAGTGCTATTAAGACATTTGAGAACTAAATCCAGATTTACCGAGGAGACAAGTGTACTCTGGGGAAAATTATTCCCTGAACACGTCTCCACAAGTGCTGGTGGGCAAGTCATTTTTCTCTGAAAGTATAAGATTGATGCAAATGTTTTGGGTATGTCTAACAACTTTTCACTTAGAGAGAAATAAAAAAAATAAAAAAAGCACTTCCTCCTTAAAAAATCTTCCCATTTGATGTCATCGCGAGCAGTATGGGTACGCTGAATGCGGCTAATGCTTCTCATAGAGGAACATTCGATTCACTGCTTCTGAATAAGAAGCATTGGATTTGTGCAGCACAGCAACTGTAGCACATGCACTATATGTGTCCAATGCTTTTTGATGAGAAGAGTTGGATTGTACACAGATCATCATGACTGATGATCTCAGTACTCCGATCGGCAGCAGCAAGTAGTGTGTCCCTGCATTGGATTCCAGGCAAGTTTGATTTTGCTCTCCCCTTAAACAAAAAGGAGGCTGCATCTAAACACAGGAAAACATTGAACTCTAAAAAATACATATGTCCTTTTAACTGGTTGAAATCATCAAAATGTTATTTGGACAGGTGTGCCCAAATATTTGCATTTAACTGTATATGCTCTTTCATGTATTGAACACAATCTATAGATATTTTCTGATCTGTCATTCATGGACTCATTGTTGTACAATGTATGGAATATTAATGTAAGGATAATAAACAGTGTGAAGTAATCTCAACATTAAAGCAGTATTTTACATTAAGCATTCATAATGAAGGTATATCTAATTTATATGATGCACATTATCTATTTGAATATAGTGGACTACCTCCCTACAAACTTCTAAAAATAAAGTCTAATTTACTTCTCTCCTTGCACGGTGTGTTTATTTTAGAATTTCTCAACTCCTGGTTTGTTCACGGCCTGTGAGAGCCTAAGGCAGCCTGTGTGTCAGATAATTTAACAGAGCAGGAGCTAAGAACTTCTAAAGTAACTGAGCTGCAAAATGGAACCGTTTTTCTTTCCTGGAGGCTGTGTGAGTCAGTGTGGCAAGGGCAGCATAAACAAAGTTTATCTAACTCCTAAACGGTAGGGAACAGTGTGACAGCAGGGGCACGATCTATACACCAACATGGCTTCATTAAGCTACACTGGTTTTGGTGCTGAGTAAAGAGGGTGAGAGAGAGCCTACAGACATATCTGTAGCATGTTCCACAAAGTAGAGTGTTTCTCATTTGTTCTAGCACCTTGTGGCAGGTTATTCTAGAAGTGAGCATTCAGCACCAATGTGGATAGACCTACTTTTTTTTTTTATATCTTGATTTCCATCACCTTGATACATGCTGCTTTTTGAGGATCTAAGGGGACATAGACTACATGCATACTCTGTATGTGGGATGTTTAGCAGTGACTCCATGTTTTTAGCAAAACATATACAGACATGTAGTAGTGAGACTATATCTGGCATCTTAGAGAGATATATATATATATATATAATCTCTATCTTTCTGATATAAAATGCAATCTGGTACATGCACTATTTTAGTCTAGATAGCAGATTTTTTTTTTTTTATTCCTGTGGTACCATTCTTGGTGCTGGACTGGTGAACTCCATTATCAGTAATGTTGCGTTCAAGATGCATTCCCCTCTCTTGTGTGGCAAGCATGATGTAGCAGTATCATGTTTGTACTGCTGCTGTCACCTGCTATTTTATGTGCAACGCTTTTACTGAACAGTGGAAATGTGATGTCACAGTGGAAATGAGAAGAATAAAAGGTTTTAAGGGAGTGGATGAAAAAAGGAGATAGAATAGACAATGTCATAATTAATGGAAGAGAGTAAATAGGGAGAGGAGAGAAAGGAATGAAGGCAAGTGTGAGGATATGGCACATGAAATATAATGGGGGAGTAAAAAAGGAGGGGAGGTAGTTAATATACAATGGGGCGGACGGGGATGGAGGGTGAGACTAAAGGGGAAATACAAGGTTTCAGGGAGAAATGTGTCCTACCTTTGTGCCCTCATATCAAAACTGCTCTTGTACTTTTTTTTTTTTTTATTTATTTATTTTTTTTATTGCCGCTGAACATGGACACCAGAACTTTCACATTTTTCCTTGAAATTTTGTTTCCCTCAACGTCCTCATTTGTTGCCCAGTGCAGCCTGCGTTCACATAATACTGGCCTAATATGAATTTTTTTTTTATTTAAAAAAAAAAAAAAACTATCGTAGGGTAATAAACATATTAAACCTAAAGTGCCAGTAAAAACAAAATTAGTCCAAAAACACTTTTTGCATGACTTTATTAATATACACAGGAAGAGACACCCCACAACCCTAAAATCCCACCCACACCAGGGACGCTTTTTCTTGGAGGGAGAGTGGGGAAGGGAGTTGTAGTAATACGGGAACCCTGTTGTGCCATATTTTGAAGATGACCAGATTTCCTCTTTTATGTCTAGCCCTCACGCGGTAAAGGTAAAACATTCAGGAGAGCTACACTACCTGTCCAGTGTGAATGTTATTATTAAAGAGGAGTTTGGTGCCTACTGCCCTAAATTCATATTACACACGTGTAATAATGAAACTGATCTCATTGTTGACCCTATGAACATGGCTATAGTTAGCGAGAAAAAGATATTTGGTCATATGGCTCCAGTCCCTACCAGGACTTGAAATCACAGTCACAGCAACATTTATATGTTGTTTTTTTGTCATAATGTAAATGTTCCCAAACTTCATCATAAACCAACATGGTGACAGTGAAGATGGATTTTCCTTACAACAAGAAATAACTTACCATTGCTTTCATTGTATATTTCTTCAAACAATTTTTCAATACGAGGAAGCCATGATCACCTGACATAAAAATTGCCCAATCACACTCTCCAGAGTTCATAGATTTAAAATCCATCTAGGAAAACACAGGGGACACTGTCACCCTTCATATAACGATCATGAAGCGGGGACGCCCTAGATCTCAATAATGCAAAAAAAATTAAAACTTCCTCTTCACTCATCATACAAACATTGTGTAACAAGACGTGAGATTAAAACTGGAGGTTAACACACAGGAAGGGCCTGCATTCAATTTAGAATGTGCTGCTTCTCCCAACTGCCTTTATAAATTACAATCCAAAAACATTACAAAAAGGATTTTGGGCAGGAGGTTGGATTAAATTACTCTTGTTTTGTCCATAGAAAATAAGAAAGTCCTTCTGTTTATGTACATATGTATATAAAAGGCTGAAGAGAGAAAGTGGGTTCAGGTAAGTGGTGGCCCAGGCACTCCGTTGAGTGTTACTTTGCGTCCTCGCCCAGCAGAATGCCCATTGTGGAGGCCACAGGCAGGGGGTAGCTCAGTATTAGGGTTTGGGGATCCGTGGCAGGGAGTTGCAGGGCTTGGTAATGAAGATGAAGTTGAAGGAATAGGAGCTGGGCTGCTAGCCTTGTCACTAGCAGATTCCCCTTCTGACGTGGCTCCACGGTTTGACTCCTGAAGGCTTCGTGGACGGCTAAACCGCAACCTCTTACAAGTTGGCTGAACCCGGTACTTGAGAGGTAAAGGACCAGTCTATGGGATAAATAAAACATGTCATTATTCACTAAGTACCAATATATTCCACAACAGAATTACTACACTATTAAGTAAAATGGTGGCAGCCATGTTAAGCAGATAATTTGTATGTTCTAGTATGTGGTAAATAGCTTTTTTTGATTTTTTTTTTTCCTTTTATATCCATCATTATGATTTAAAGGCATGCGCTGTAATGGGAGACTGAATTCCATGGACAGTAGTGGAGTGATTCTTTATTTAGTATTGGTTGTAAGGCTGAGTTGGTCCTCATTATCACCTCACAGTGTGGGAATCTAGGAGCCTGGAACAAATAAGCAACACAGACCGTGAAAATATGGCTTATACACACACCTAACCTCACTCACACATACAAATAAAATAGACTAGCCATTCACCTACAAACATGTATGTACACAACTCACGTGCATACATTCTTAACTAACCACTCATTTGTGTACAAATATAGTCAATACATAGACCTACACTGACATGCTTCTGTTGATTCATATTAGGATCTCTCTCCTCTCCTCTCCCTTTTAGTCTACAGCACTACAATTTTTTTTTTACACGGCACTGCAGCAGCTGCTCCCATTTTTTGTTGTTGTAAATCTTTATTTTTGCAGTGCATTTAAAGACAAATATGCCAATGTGGCCAAAACAGCATAAATAATCAAAAGGTTAAAAGACAGGTGGTTACTGATACTTGGCATGTGATGAATTTGCACTCTTTTTTTGGTTAATGAACATAAATAACAATAACATATCAGTGGCATAAACCAAATTGTCACAGTTGAAAAAAGTGTACATGAAGTGTGAGCTATGTGTAGCATTATTGTAGATGAGAGGAAGGCCAGTGTGGTCTGAGTGGCGCAAGAGGCTCCATAGAAGTTATATAGGTTCCCTTTTGGGAGTTTGCTGGGGAGCACCTAATCCAGAGTACATCCTCATTCAATAGCTATCAGTGTGGAGTAGGGTCTGTGAAACGTGCTGTATTTAGTGGTGCGCCATGCACAATAAAGAATTCCGGGTTGCACAGAGATAATGGTATCAAGCCAATTAAGTAGGTTGAGATTGTGGGGGGAGGAGGGGGTAGAAGCATTAGAGTAAAAGCGTGCTCATGCGTACAATGTACAGGTTGTCTGTAACGTTCATAAAGGTGTGAGTACTGTGTTGCTACAGAATTGGGTAGTGATCTATTGCCTAAAGGACCTATCAGTTTGTGACATATGAAATAATGGGTAACCTGTGAACATAACAAAATTAAACAATTTAGGCCAATCTGTAGGGCGAAGCCCCAGTTCCAGGCCCTGGTAGACCTAAGGATGGTCTGACCCATGACATCTGCCCAGATAATCAGGTCACACCAGAGGTTGTAGAGCCGGCTCTCTGTGTAAAAGGCTCAGTTGTAGTCGGATCCCATGCTGGATCAGTTCGTGTTGAGGTCGGTGTCATGAGACCCATGGTGGTCAGCAGTGCAGGGGCTTCATCTTTGGATCGGAGTGTATGAACAGTCCTGTTCCACGGCACTTGAAGTATGACTACGGGGCCCCAGCGGTAAGAAACCACTGCTGTGCGCAATTGAGAAGTGTAAGGTGCCATGGACCTGCGCCATTGCAGGGTTGTCCTGGATAGATCTTGGTAAAATGACAATTGGAAGTCCTCAAAGTGCATGAGTGTTTTGTCGCTTAGGGCCAACATCATGCGATTGTGATCTGCAAATAATGTTCATCTCAAGATTACATCCCGTGATGGTGGTGGTAGTGGAACGTCCCGCTATTCTGTAGACCTCATCCAATGTCATCTTTTTAGCGATTGCCGGTGGTGGAATGGAGGCCAGTAGCTTCCAGATGTAATGGGGCAGTTCATCTGAGGTGATTGCCATAGGTATTCAGTGGATTTTCACATGATTGCAGCAGTGGCATTCCTCCAGCGTGGTTAGTTGCACTATCATTGATTGCTGGTTTTCTTGCAGCTGGAGGACCGAGTCACTGAGTGGGGCAACCGCGGCCTGAACATCTTGTACCGCTCCTTCTGTGCCCTGTACCTACTCGGTGACCGCCCTGTGTCTCCTTCTGTGCGAGGGCACAATCTGCCGCAATCATTTTGTGCAGTTCGCCAAGCAAGGCCATGTGGTCATCCTTCGTTGCCGGTGCTGAACCCCCTGTGGGCTCTGGGGGAGGCTGTAGACCCATGTCAGGTGCTTGAGAGGACCCAAGTGTCTTGAGCGTGCTGTGACGTGGCCACATCTTGTATTTCCCCTGCTCTAGGTCAGGCCTGCCCAATAGGTAGATGTCCAGATGTTGTAGAACTATAACTCCCATGATTCTTTGCATGCCTTTAGAATAAGAAAGATTCATGGGAGCTGTAGTTCTATAACACTTTGGGATCTACCTATTGGGCACCCCTACTTAAAGCTAATGTAAATTTTGTATCACTTTACATTCAGGCTCATCTTTAGGATGGAGCAAGATGTTAAAAGGCAGTGTGCAAAGTGGAAAGTTCGGTAAACAGGGAAAATGCAAACAGAAATATCTAGGCATCAGATTAACTTTAGTGAAGTTTCATTCAGGAACAATAAATCCTGTTGGAAGGCTGTACCTCATCATGAGCCAGTAGCTACTTTCTACATCGGAAGAAGAAAGACAAATTAAATGTCTCTGTTACTGAAATCCTCAGGATGAGGTCCACAGCAACAAAAGGAATTTGAAATGGATAAGGGGATCCAAGGAAGGGAATGTTCTTATCAGAATTTTGAGGCATAGCTGGCACTCCATTTGGTAATCTACAGCTATAATGTGACACAGGATCCTGTACAGACCCTGCAGCGGGTAGCAGCAACACTGGTAGGCAAACTGCCTCATTCTGTGGCTGAATTGATTTAATAGCAAAATGATATTGAAGTTTCTCTTCAACACATCTTGCCTAAAGGCTCAGCAAGCCACCTCTCATTAACTTAATTTTTTTCTCCCCACTTTAAGATCTGCTAGGTGCTGCCTGAGTTTCTCCCAGAAGTGTATACAATCTTTCTCCCTTATCAGAACAGCTTAGAGAAAAGGCCTGCATTGTTCTGCTGCAGCAAGGCCAACCTACACTGACACACGGCTACTTGTGTGACAGAGAATGGATTTTACATCATTAGAGAAGATGTATATATAGATTTACTATATATTGACTATATATATTTGGGTACATTGATCTTGAGGAAGACCCTGTAGGGTCGAAACGTCGGTCAGATGATGTAACATTTTTACTGAATAAATACTAACGGATTTTTTGTAAAGACCTGAGAGTGCATCTCTTATTTCTCCATATATTCCACAACGTGGGATTGCACCAAGGCATAAATACATCAACTTAATGGGAGATAGGGTGAGTGCCAAGCTATCTATATTTGTGTGTGTGTGTATACATATATATATATATATATATATATATATATATATTTATATTTTCTTTTTAGGTCTAGTTGGTGTAGCGTTTTTTGGTTTTTTTGCAACTGCTGTTTATTAACATTAAGGCACTTTATGTTGAAACTGTACATTAATACTAAGCATTACTTACCCTCCCCCAAGGGAATATGTAAGCAATATCCATGAGTGTGTAATAATCCTTTAATGGCTCCTCCTCATACAGAATCTCCACCTGCAGATAATTCAAACAACATTATTAGTGGAGCAGGGGTAGTAATGGGGTTAGTGTATGGCAGTACTCTCAGATACACAATATGCAGAATATAATGAGATACAGCCAACCTATAAAGGAACAAACAAAAACCTACGTAGTATAGCACTTTGTAAGCATTATGCCCCCAAATAAACTGCTTTTATTGCACTTACAAACCACTTGGTGAAACAGGCATATAAATAACTTAAATCTTCTATTCTTTTGGGTGTTAGGGTTCACAGTGTGTGTATATACACTCTCAGATACACTGTCTGTGGAAAACATATTTTCCAAGAAATATTGGATATATTAAATCCTTGAAGGGGAATAAATGTACATTAAAGGAACATTATATGCACTATAAAAACTTCATCGTATTGACATTGTTATAGTGCCTTTAATCTTACCACCCAAAATCCTTTATTTTAATAATTGGAAGGCTTGCCTCTAAGCCGTCTAAGTATGAGAGTATGGGCTGTTACTTCTAATCTCTCACACAGTAAATTTGCCACTGGGAAGGTCATGAACTAACTAGTCCCTAGGAATACAGCTATATACAGATAAAGAGGAAACAGTATTTCTATAACTTTATTTAACAATGATTGAAATTGGCACTTCCATCTTAACTCCCTGGCACAGATGAAGAGATATTAATTTCTAGATTGACAAGATTAATGTAAACTCATTGAGGGCAATTTTGCATATATGCTGCACTGTGAAATTATGTTTTATGTTTTGCACTGCAGTGACCACACTCCTAATCTTTTTTTTTTTTTTTGTGATTAACTTTCTACAGGGAGGGAGGCTATGATCCCTGGTTTTCTGGTGGTGGAGCACATGGTTTGCCACTCTAGAAGGTGCAGACCACAAGCTCCTCCAATGGACCTTCAGGGAACAATAATCTCTGCCAGACCATCAGGAATTAATCATTACTGTATTTAACATATTGCTTATTTGGTCCCCCTATAGAGATGCCACTACCTAATATTAAGTACCAAAGTATCAATTTAAATTTTTACTTTGCAATATACACAGTCTAGTCACATATCTCTCCAGCATGCATTACCCTTGACCTACATACCTAGGTCACATATTTGCACATCTAACTCCATTTTACATCCTAGCATTACATTCATGTTTATTCCAGATTATGTCCACTCTGCATAACTAATAACACTTTGCCATTTTAAGTCTTCTGCCTTACATCTGTAGCCATAATCCTCTGCCAGGATATCTTTCGGAGAGATTATGGTAAGCTTGTACCATCTGTAATATTATTTTGACTGATTTGATTTTTCAACTATTCAATTTATTTCACCAAGTTAAAAAAAAAAATTATTTGATTAATTCAAAGTCAACAATCACACTACAAATATTTATTTAAATAAATTATGTTCTTTTCTTTGATGGCAGTTAAACCCTACAGAGTTGGTTGTCAGTTTACAAATTCTTATATCTTCCAATGACCTATGACAAATATGTTCAAAAGCATGGCAAGGGGAATCTAATATTTATTCTACAAAACAAAATAGACTGGGACGTATAGAAAATTAATACTGGGAAATATTCGAGAGCCACAAACTGCTGTCAAATGCGGCTTTGTTGAAGTAAGGAAATAAAAGATGGCCAGATTGAAAAAAAAAAAGAAAAATCTCTCTCTTGCAGCTCTCTTAAATGCCACAGTACGAAGTCCATTTCAAAAACACTATTTCAGATTGCAGAACATCCCTGGTCCCAGTAGTGGCTGTCTTTTTTGGTGGAGTGTTATCCTCCACTCAAGAGGAGGACTGTTTTGAAAGAATAGTAATCGACAAGTAAAGCTCCCCACTCCTCCCACTGTTATCCTGCCTGATGTTTCCTTCTCTCTGTCCCACACCCTATGCTTTTCTTCCTGCTATTCCTGCCTTTCTTCTAACTTGTCTTTCATTCTCATGGGCTATTGCTTACTTCACTGCACTAAACCAAAGCACTACTCTATATTATTATTATTTATAAATCGCCAACAAATTCCGTATCGCTGTACAATAGGTTATGGCAGGCTATATTTATCGCTTTATTAATGTGACTTTGCATATATATTGTTACTGTGAACAAGTCACTCTGTTTGTATTGCACGGCCTTTGTAATGTATGGCAAAATGTTTAATAAACTATAGTTGAAAAATAAATTAACAACTTTTCTGGTTGTTTCCCAAGAACCCGCATTACGCTTCTATTGAATTAAACTAGAAGTCAATATTTGGAGCTCAGAAACAGATCCACAACGTGTTAGAGAATACAGAAGACCGCCTTTAGCAATTACTAAAGTAATCTTCTCATGATTACTTAGTACAACAGCAAATGCGTGTAAAATGAAATGCTCATAAATTAAAGGGTTTTTCTGCTCCTTTAACTCTTTTCTCACATTCCCTATACAGTGTTATTTTCATTTGGTTCCTATATTGTAAAAAGGAGTGAGATTTCTATTACTTTGATGCCATTAATCAAACACTTTTATTGTATAAATTTGACTTATTGCATAAAAAAAAATTACAAATATAAATAACCAAAAAAAGACAGATAAAAAAAGGTGATTATACGAGGTTTATTTTATATTTAGCTGAAATATACTGACTGTTTGAGTACATATTTAGAATTCAAAAACCTACAGGTCAAAGAGCAAGTCTGGATTATTTTGTGCGGATTTGTTCCTTGGCACCTCTGTGGCCCACTAGCGGGATGCTTAGCAACATGGGTGTGGGAGAGGTGGCAGATCTCTTTACCCAGGAATCAGGAGGCTCAGCACAGATGCCTGGACCACCACCCCACTCTTGTTTGACTCTCATTGCCTGGACTTTGCACCCCATTTTCCGGCCTTCACTGGAATTGCTTTAAAATCTCAAGATGGCTGCCATTGCCTCTCTGGCTGAGAAAATACAATATGGCCTGTCTGTTCACCACTTAAGGGTCTTTGCGGACTCACTTTGGGCATTTGATCACCTGTGCAAGCATTTTGGAAGAAGTTGGAGAGCAAGCCAAGACATGTTACTTAGGCCTTCACTCAGTCACTGCACAGAGTGTCTGAAGCATATGGAAAGCACAAGCATGCCCAGAGACAGGTTGGTGACTTCCCATGCCTCTTTACTGCCTGTGGACCAGTGGCTATGGGACAAATGGTCCTCCATAATTATTTCTTACCACAGCATTTGTTATTCTTTTAACAGAGAGTTTTATATTTTATGGGATCTTCTCATAACTCGTAGCACAGATCTGAGAATTTGATATTTAGCATTTTATTTCTACTACTTATTATTTTTTACTTTTCTGTTAATCAATCATGCCTACGAGCTTATATGACAGCATATCTTCAATTTGTGCCATACTGTAAGACTGTAATAGTTTAACAAAAAACAAATGCCTCATCTATTGTTATCCAACATGAACCAATATGATTCTATGTCCTTAGACCCACGTCTTCATGCTTGCTCTTAGAAACATTCCCAATACTTATTGAGCTGTGCAGTGCATCAGTTATTAATGATTTTACCTCCATTATGTTTACTTTCTATTTTTCTGTTAATATGTTCTTGCAAGGTCCATTCACTCTGGGTCAGATGTTATGTTATCGAGCCTGTATGCCTGCATATTTTATTTTTATAAGCAACCTCTATATTGCCAATATCCTGCTTATATTATATTGAAAAGATGTAGAATTGCTTATGTCAACTGCAAAGTGTACCCATGATTTATTATGCTTCGTGATATCTTATGTATAACATCTATTTAGCTCAATTTAAAAAAAAAAAAAAATTATAATGGTAGATATTTCCATAGTTGCAGCAGTTTATTGTATCAAGAATGTTACTTTTCTCAAGATCTTGGGGGCTCTTTACAAATCCTACACTGAATTAAGAAATATCCTGCTTTAGTTCCTGGTTACAAATATGCAAAAACAAGTCCTGCGTTCAAACTCCCACTACTCAGCAGCAATGACCATAGTATACAACAGCCTCAATACATACAGTAAAAACCAAAGGAAAAAAAAACGTTAATTGCACTCTTCCCAAATCCCTATGCATATTTACATAAATGGAGGTTATTTAGTAACTCCAACGGCCATTAGATGGCAAGCCCACCTGCCACGTCAAGGCAAACCTCTAGGTCGGTCCTACACTGACTGTTCACTTTGCTTCCTTGAGCTTAAGGCAAAGATATCTCTAATGAGACAGAGATGGGTATTTTTCTAAACCTCTACATACTTATTACCCCTTAATAGGGAACACCCCGCCCAAGAGTAGTGGGAGTTTGAGCGCAGGACTTATTTTTGTGTATTTGTATTCACTTTTGTATCACACAGCTACGTTAAAATGCTGTCCCCCACCCCATGTGTTCTCTATTAAGGGGTAATAAGTATGTAGGGGTTTAGAAAAATACCCCCCTCTGTCTCATTAGAGATATATTTGCATGAAGTTTAAGGAAGCAAGTTGAATAGTCAGTGTAAGATCCACCTAAGAGGTTTGCCTTGATGTGGCAGACGGGCATCCCTCTAATGGCCAATTGAGTTACCATATAACCTCCATTTATGTAAATATGCATAGGGATTTGGGAAGAGCGCAGGTAACTTTTATTCTTTGGTTTTTAGTTCCTGGTTAGCCAACACTCCCAGGACTAAGGTATTTTATTCCTATCCACACCCAGCCCTTACTTTACTCTTTTTTTTCCCGCCAGCCTTTCTTCTTCTCTCTCTGCCTCCGGCCTATCTTTCTTGATTTCAATATTTTTCCTCACAGTACAATACATATTATATAGAACAATTAAAGATGTTATTTCACTATGGCTTGCATCTTCTATAAATGTAACATTCATATGGTGACACAGTGTATGAAAGAATCCTATGTATTATTTTAATAGCATTTTCTTTCCTTTCTGTGCCACTGCCATATTAGAAAATAAAGAAATTATACAGCTGTGATTTGGGGTTAGACAATAATGTTGTCCAAGTCTGCATTAAAGGATATTCAGTTACTTAATAGATATGTGATAACCGTAATACTATATTGAAATTTTGATTAGTCTGTCTTTTAAATATGACTATTTATCTGAATGCGGGTTAAACCGTGATAACCGGCTTTTAATAATTTATCTCTTAGGAAATTGTAGTCTAAATTATAAATGCATTTTAATTTTATATAGAATCTTATATAGTAGCTGCTAGGAATGACAAAAGTGGACGGGAGAAACTCCATCTTTTTTCAACCTTGGATTTACCCATAAGATAATCTTTTGATTGCTATAGTGTATTTCACAAACATTTTATCTTTATGAAATGCTCAAAAGTGTCAGAATTACTTCAGGAATCATCTACAGACATAATGCGGATTGATTTACAGAAATATGTTCATTCACAAACCTCTTGAAACAAAAGCATAATGAAGGGTCCTTGGTACCTACTTTGTACTTGCTGGGGACGTCCATCTTGTTTCGTAAGAATTTGGCAAGGTGAGTAATAGTCATGGCAGCTGGACAGCGCAGGAAACGGAGACTGTTTCTCTGCAAAGAGACATGTGGGTGATGAAAGCTTCTATCTTGAGTAACTTTAGATCCACTTTACAGAACAAAATACTCTGCATTCAGTATATACACACACTACATTCACAATACACACACTGCATTTACTTTACACACACACAGCATTCGCTTTACGCACACTACACACACAGCATTCACTTTACGCACACTACACACACTACACAAACACTCACTGCATTCATTATATACACACTACACAAACACACACACTCTGCATTCATTATACACACACTACACAAACACACACACTCTGCATTCACTATATACACACTACATTCACTATACACACACTACACAAACACACTCTGCATTCATTATATAAACACTGCATAAACTACACAAACACACACACACAGCTCCCCTGTCTAAAAACACTGCACCCACTACATGTGCCATGTATATTTTGTGCATTAACCTTTAGAAATAGTTTATTTTCTCAAAATGGTAAATGTACAGAAGATCGGTAAGTTATCGGCCTGAAAGTTCACAGATTATCGGTATTGGCTCTAAAAAAATCAATATCAGTCGATCCCTACTCTATATAGGCCAAAAACAGGTTTCAATTAGGAATGAAGAATTAGGCAAGGTACACACTAGTATTATTATAAAACTATAAACTTTGGGCATTATTTACTATGCAACTATGAGTTTTCTGAAAATTGAATAAGAAAATGCAATTCAGGATTTTGCTAAAGCCAAATACATGCAGCAAAACATTCATGGCTAATTGAACAAAAATCGTGTTACCACTTTAATCTCATGATCATATTCAATCAACTGATAATCTCTCACCTTTTCTAAATCCTCACTTTCCACCGAATCTCGTGTCTCATCCCTGACAAAGGTAAACACAACAATATTGATATGTCACCAACAGTAATTAATATGGTCTTCACTGCAAATTCTTATTTACTTACTTATAAAGAGACAAACCAAACCAAGTAGATGTGAGTGTTCAGTCAGACAATATGCAGAGAATAGGGACCACTGGAACATATACTGCACATTAGGTGGTAAAGATGCCACAAAGTTTTGTTGGCAGATGAGGGTGGGACAGACTTTAAATTAGCCAACAACTATTAGCCAAAATACAGAAATGTACAACTAATGAAAGTTACTACTTGCCTGCATTACTGGGGCTCGCCTTGGTCAGCAAATGAAATAACTAGTACCAGGAAGGTCATTATATACTCTACAGGTAAACAGATGGGTGTGCTTGCAGTCTGAGAATTTAGATTGTCAAATATTGGAGGTTTCAAAGAATATCCTTAGGTCTACGTGGGTACTCCGGATACTCACAGGTTTGGTGCAATGTCTAGGCTAGGTTATAGTTCATTATGCAGAGTGTAGAGATATTTCAGAATTACTATACAAGCCCAATCCTTCCACCCATCCTGCAATGTTTCCTGTTTTGCTCCAACTATTTTCACATCATGATTTGTTAGCTTTCAGTTCAAATAAACTCCAACTCCAACTGACAACGAAGCTGAATGTACAGAACCTCTTGCTATGCCAATAAAGCACTGTTCATAGTAAAACATAGTAGCACTGCTAAAGAAAGTATAATACACATTTGTTTCTGAATTCTTTGGAATATAAAAGCATACAATGTAACTAAAACTTAAGAAGAAAACAACCAGTTGAATATTTTACCCCCTCCTTTATTGTCTCTTACGTCTCTTTGACCCCTTTTTTCCCCCTCAACCTTCTTGTGTCTCTTGACCACCTTCCCCCTCCTTATATTTTACCAACTGTTGTATTGTGGGCTCACAGACTACTGCCACTGAGTAGGATGAAGAAGATCAGCTAAAACAATGTCCTGCTAGAAATGGTAGAGGATAAAGAAAATCCTCTACGGCAGTCAATGAAGACACACAACACGAAGTAAGAGGTGGAAGCCTTGTGCTCCTCCCCAGACATTGTGTCCCCCTCCCACTAGTCACCCAGAAATTGCAATCTCCTGCTGCCAGTCACCAAACGCTGTGTGGGTGACACTCAAAATATAATACAAGATGTGGGCAGTTTTTACCTCAAGTTTTGATTTAAAAAAAATATCTGGCACTTCCTGGTTTGGTAAATCACTGTAAATCCTGTTCACTCTGAATTTTGCAGGAAATTTAAATACATGTATTGTTTTTAAATATTTTAATATACTATCTATACAATGCTATAAAAAGAATGGGACTAATTAAGCCAAAAGTACACTCCTGACATTACCATAACCCACCATATCATAACCTTGGCACTGCAGATGTTTGTGAATGATAGACTGGCTAAGTGTTATGAGAAATATTATTCACAAACAGCTACGGTACCAAGGTCAGACTGGTATAACACACATTCAAATTAATGGGATAATTAACCGTAATCCAGTTTCAGTAAATGAAAAGAATCCTTTAACGATTCCACTGCCCAAGTAGTAGTATTTTATAGCAAAGTTTGTTATTGCAGTTTGTTCTTAAAGGGGCATTCAGCACCATAACAAGTACTGCATGTGGTCATAATTACGATGCTTAGATTGCCCCTTTAGGCAATATTTAACAGCTTGCCAACACAGCAGTAACAGACATATACGCTGAGGTAGTAGAAGAGACAACAGATGTACTAAGCAGCAGAAAGAATTGATTGAACTTTGATTTATTTGAAAATTTCTCCACATGGGGATCATAAAATGATGAAACAATCATTTAAAGGGACACTATAGTCACCTGAACAATTGTAGCTTAATGAAGCAGTTTTGGTGTATAGAACATGCCCCTGCAGCCTCACTGCTCAATCCTCTGCCATTTAGGAGTTAAATCCCTTTGTTTATGAACCCTAGTCACACCTCCCTGCATGTGACTTGCACAGCCTTCCATAAACACTTCCTGTAAAAAGAGCCCTATTTCGGCTTTCTTTATTGCAAGTTCTGTTTATTTAAGATTTTCTTATCCCCTGCTATGTTAATAGCTTGCTAGACTCTGCAAGAGCCTCCTGTATGTGATTAAAGTTCAATTTAGAGATTGAGATACAATTATTTAAGGTAAATTACATCTGTTTGAAAGTGAAACCAGTTTTTTTCATGCAGGCTCTGTCAATCATAGCCAGGGGAGGTGTGGCTAGGGCTGCATAAACAGAAACAAAGTGATTTAACTCCTAAATGACAGTGAATTGAGCAGTGAAATTGCAGGGGAATGAGCTATACACTAAAACTGCTTTATTTAGCTAAAGTAATTTAGGTGACTATAGTGTTCCTTTAAGGACGGTATCCCTTGTGCTAAATATCAGCTTGTAACTGACAGAATGTTGTGTGTGTGGTGTCAGTGTAAAGTGGACCTACGACCCACAAAGGCTTTCTTTTATTGGGCATGCATTGTACTGAAAATATAGCAACAGAATGACATGAAAAGTAGATTAGAAAAGACATTCAAAAACATAAAAACTAAAAAAACGCAACAAAGCTCACCCAATGTGCATATGTACAGACAGGCTGTTACTTTCTATTCGTAGAGGTATTACATAACATGACAGTAGTTAAGCCACTGATACACCTACAACAGCATGAGGCTGTCAGATAGCCCACTGCTCACCAACCAGGAACAAAGTGGAGAATGAGGTTGCATTTTGAGAACAGGTAGGTGGTTATAAGGGAAATCAGGGGAATCAACAATAAGCAGCTATAAGTTAGGAAGGAGGGATGCAAACGTGATACCTGGCATCTTCAGAAAACTGGATTGACAGACTGATGTTTTCCTCTTCTTGTACAGCTACCTCCCCACAATCATTTGTCTTCTCTCCCTGTTCAGCACTGGAGCCATCTTGGGCTGTAATGCAATTAACAAATCTCATGTACAAACTACTCCTTTAAAGCAGGTGTTCAATTACTCTCTGTACTTGCGTTAATAAGCTGCTTTAAAGAAAACTGCTCCTGTAAGTGCTGCTTGATAGCATACTTGTATAATAAAACTCACCTTCTGCACGGGAATAGGAGGCATAGAAATCTCGCCGTCTTTTCATCTCATCTACAAAAGGAAAGGGAATATACCGTATTTCATTTTAGAGACCTAAATACACAATATGTACAATATAGAATGTTTATGAAAGTACACCCTTTCTGTGCAATTATGCCTTTATTGGCATTTACTAAAAACCTTTTTACTAAACGATTTACGTAATACAGGGCTTGACAATTTCTAGGTCGCCATGGAATTTTACCCTGGAACCTGGGTGTTTTTCAGTCTGTTCCATTCCACACTGGCCACACCAAAGAGGGCAGCTGTGCGGAATGGAGGTAAGGGAGCTGTGATCTTCCTGCTATTTTGCTCTGCTCCCTCGTGCGCCCTGCTGTGATGCTGGGATATGACGTCAGGCCCAGGCATCACTAAACAGTGTGCAAGGTAACAGAGCTTGAAGATTGCAGGATCACAGTGAGTGAGTGAGAGAATGTGTGGATCTATCTGTGTGAGTAAGTGTGTCTGTTAGTGAGTATTTCTGTTAACGTGACTGCTCCCACCCTGCAGATCGCATTGGAAAACTGTTTGTCTACATCTTTTTCCCCATGCCTGCTGGCCCCATCTCCTTGGAGGAGATAATCAACCTTGATGATTTCAGCGAATCCAATGCTTTCCCATACAAAAGCATTTGAAAGCTATTGCACATGTGCTGCAAACCGCCGTGCTGCACCAATCAGCATTTCTTCATGCACAGAGAGCTGTAGTGCTTCTGGAGACTATAGTGTCTCTTTACGTTTTGCATTTTTGTTGTTTAATATAAAGCTTTGTTAGTTTTAAAAGAAACCTGGCTCTTAACTTATTTTTAGCTGGATTTAAAGCAAATTTGTCAAGCCCTGCCATAAACTATTAACAGATCACACTACAATTTACTAGTGCAATCCCAATACCAATTGAAAGTTCCAAAGTACAGTGATAGGATACAGCATTTGAAGGAATTAAAGATTTGTATTTATGAAAAAAAGAATTTACATTATCTTATGGTAGAAAGAATAAACAGCACATCAGAATGTATGCAATAAAAAATATTTATATATAAAGAGCTGATATAAACAGCTGTCTAGTCACATGTTCATTAACAGGATAAGTGAAGAGGTATTCCGTTCAAACTCAAGAAAAGGAGATTTCACATACAGCAGTGTAACCTGCAAATTAGTAATATGGATGTTACAAAATCTGTCTTAAAAAAATCACTTCAGCTTATAGGGTTATTCCAGCACCATGACCACTTCAGTGACTAGAAAGGATCATGGTCCTTTGAATCTGTATGTGCAGAGTTTCAGTCCACCTCCAGCAGTTTCATTACTCAGCTGGGAACGAAACAGATAATTAATGGCGGCCCAGCCTCCCCACCGCCAAATTCCTCCCCTCAGCTTATCTTTGTCCTCCACTAAAGGGGCAAGGGATGTTGGTTGGAGTAACCCTTAAAATAATTGATTTTGGTGCACAGCTTGCATCCTTGTCTCTCTGCTCATAACTTAATGCAAGCTCCACTTTCTTGCTATGATACCAAAGGAAGTGGAAATTCCTTAAAGCGGCACTGTCATGCCGAAACCCGTTTTTTTTTTAACCCCCCTCCCGCCTCCACTACATCCAATTGACCCACTAGTCACCCCCAAATGCCCCTAAGCCCCCCACATTACCTATTTTTTAATCCTTATTTTCTGCCCCGATCTTGATTCAGGGCGCAGCCATCTTTGTGTGGGTAGAGGAAGTCCCTGTGGGACACGTCATCTGCCCACACTAGGCAGACACTGAGATTCCCGCACATGCCCAGTGAAACACCTGGACATGCGAACGGGAATTTCAGCTATTCATTCATTCATCAGACAGACGAATGAGTGAATAGAAAGATCAGCCGAACAAACAAACACAATGTATCAGTGTTAGTTTGTTCGTGCAGTTTATTACAAGGAGGGAGCTACCGGCACGCAGCTCCCTCCTTGTAATATGTAACTATAGAAGCGGCAGGGAGCAGTGCTCCCCACCACTTCATAAGCCCCCCAGTACCCCCTCTCACTCTATGGGGGTCAATATGACCCCCATAATAGCACAAGAGAGATTTAAATCTCCCAAATGCCCCTACTCACTATACCGCGAGTAGGGGCATGTCTACTAAACAGTGAGCAGCCTGTGGCTGCTCACTGTTGAAAAAAAAGACATAAATTACAATAAGGGGGGGCGGACCTATTGTCCTCCCCCCCTCCCCCACCCTGAGCGGCGGGTGGGGGCCATAAAGATAATGGGGGGGGGACCTACTGTCCTCCCCTCCGGCCCCCACCCCTGAGCGGTGGGTGGGGGCCCTAATAAAACCATAAGGGGGGGGACCTACTGTCCTCCCCCCCGGCCCCCACCCCTGAGCGGTGGGTGGGGGCCCTAATAAAACATAAGGGGGGGGACCTACTGTCCTCCCCCCCGGCCCCCACCCCTGAGCGGTGGGTGGGGGCCCCAATAAAACAATAAGGGGGGGGGACCTACTGTCCTC